CGCTCCGAGACTCATTGCCCCGACGCCCCCGGTCCCCGCTCCTGAGAGTCAGACTCCCTCCCTCCCATCCCATGGTCCTCTCCCACCCTCCCGTTGGTGATTTGGGGGCCGTCTGGGATCCGGCCCTTGAGGGGGGGGCTGTGGGGTGGGTTATGGGGGGGGCTGAGCCGCCGCCGACTGCGGAGGTGTTCCGTGTCCCCGAGCTGGAGCCGACTACGGAGGTGTTCCGTGTCCCCGAGCTGGAGCCGACTACGGAGGTGTTCCCTGTCCCCGAGCCGACGCCGACAACCGCGGAGGTTTCCAGTGTCCCCGAGCCGGAGCCGACTACCCCGGACGTTTTCAGTGTCCCCGAGCCGGAGCCGACTACCCCGGACGTTTCCAGTGTCCCCGAGCCGGAGCCGACTACCCCGGACGTTTCCAGTGTCCCCGAGCCGGAGCCGACTACCCCGGACGTTTCCAGTGTCCCCGAGCCGGAGCCGACTACCCCGGACGTTTCCAGTGTCCCCGAGCCGGAGCCGACTACCCCGGACGTTTCCCGTGTCCCCGAGCCGGAGCCGACTACCCCGGACGTTTCCCGTGTCCCCGAGCCGGAGCCGACTACCCCGGACGTTTCCCGTGTCCCCGAGCCGGAGCCGACTACCCCGGACGTTTCCCGTGTCCCCGAGCCGGAGCCGACTACCCCGGACGTTTCCCGTGTCCCCGAGCCGGAGCCGACGACTGCGGAGGTGTTCCGTGTCCCCGAGCCGGAGCCGACGACTGCGGAGGTGTTCCGTGTCCCCGAGCCGGAGCCGACGACTGCGGAGGTGTTCCGTGTCCCCGAGCCGGAGCCGACGACTGCGGAGGTGTTCCGTGTCCCCGAGCCGGAGCCGACGACTGCGGAGGTGTTCCGTGTCCCCGAGCCGGAGCCGACGACTGCGGAGGTGTTCCGTGTCCCCGAGCCGGAGCCGACGACTGCGGAGGTGTTCCGTGTCCCCGAACCCGAGCCGCCGCCGACCCCCGCGGACGTTTCTCGTGTCCCCGAGCCTGCCATGCCAGAGACGTTCCGGAGCTGGCCACATGACCGTGCGCCGGCCGACCACCGGAGACTCCCCTGCAGTGTGCATATCTGCCAAGCCGACCCCCAGAGGGTTCCTCGGTCACCTGGTCTGCCCGCCGGGTCGCCCGCCAGAGTTTCCCCGGTGGTCCGATCAACATCTCGGGTTTCCCCTGCGCCCGCACCCCCTTGTTTTGCTCCTAGTGTGGAGCGCGCCGTCGAAAGTCGGCCGCTTTGAGGGGGGGGGTACTGTCCACGGGTGTGGGTTCAACTTCCTGTCTTATTTTGTAGTTTTCTGCCACTCGTGTCCCCGGGTAACTTCACTTCCTGCCTTGTCTCGTCATCCCCTGTGTTCGTCTAATAGTTTCCACCTGTGTTCCAATCACCTGCACCTCCCTTGTGTATTTAAGCCGTGTGTCTCCTGTGTCACTTGTCGCGTCATTGTCTTTTGCCACGCATGTCCTTGTCCTGTCTTTTGTCTTGGATGCCCATAGTTTCATGCCTGAGTGTTTTTGCCCCTTGGATTTTGGACCTTTTGACTATTAAAGTCTTTTTGTATTGGAAAACTCTGCGTCTGAGTCCTGCCTCCCACCCGCAACCCTGACAGAAAGTCTTTCTTCAACCCCGTCTTTTTTGCCTTGGGCCGGTTTATTCCTACGAAGACGATTGATCAGATAAACTCCAAAATCATGGATTCAAAGCTTTAATCTGTTTCTGTTTGATCAGTTAGTCTCTTGGAAGGAGTCAGCACCAAGCACAAATGTTTACTCCTCTACGTGAGTGCAGATGAAGTGAATATGTTGATGATTTTCTCTCCTCTTCTAGGAAGAGTTCCAACTCCTGGCTGAGTACCGGCTGGTTCACCATGGCCATAGCCGTGGAGCTGTGTGGCCGGATCGACGTGTACGGCATGGTGCCCCCTGATTACTGCAGGTAGGGAATCAGATCCAGCTTTTACTTTATCATCTCAAAGAGTAAATAAAACATAAAACGCAAAAGAACTACTAAAATCAATGAAAAACTATATATAAGACATATAAATATGAGTCTTATTAAGTCTTATTTCATACAATGTACTCAGCATCCGGCTCCAGATCAGACGTCAACGTTCATGAGTCGTGACATGTGGTAAGATTTTGAAATGTTTTGGAGACCATGAAAGCTTCTTTTCAATTATTTTCTCAGCAATTTCGGTTTGTTATTGAACCTTTGAAAGCACAAAATCGTTAACCAGCTTTTAAAGAGAAACCAGGTGATGTCCCTCTTCATTGCCAGTTGCCTAGCAACACTGTTCACATGACCTCAACTACAATAATATAGTGTATTCAACTTTTCAGGTCAAAATGAAGGCACAGTGATACATTTTACTAAATTTCAAGCACATCTTTCATCAAATGGCCAACAAACAGTTAATTACGCATCATCCTTTTTGAAAATTACATTTACTCATATGGGAAAGGAAGAGAAATGGTCCTCTCAAACATTTTACAATGAAGAACACATTTCGGCAGATAGGTTAGAACTGCAAAGTACCGTCGTTTTATATGGATTCTGGATGTAGCAATAATTTGGCAGACGATGTTCTCAGATGAATCTACAATGGCTTATAGGACAGTTTGACCAATTTAGATACTCAGAGACAAATAAAGACCAGATCCTCCACTGCGGTTGGCATGAGCATTAATATCAGAGCATTAAAATGGTGAATAATGAACACATCTGTGAGCTCAGATCCCTCTGATCTTTCTTTTCCCTCTTCTCTGCCGCCGTGTCTCGCTCCCTCTCCCCCAGCCCCCGCCCTCATAATCCGCCTCACAATCATCCAAGCACTGTTTTTCCTACATCACCATTCCCCCTCTTTGACTCTCCGCGTTTCTGCTCCTCTCCCCGGACCTCCTCCTCGCAGATCCCCCTCTCATCCCTCCCTGCCGTACCACTACTACGAGCCCTCGGGGCCCGACGAGTGCTCCATGTACCTCTCACACGAGCGCAGCCGACGGGGAAGCCACCACCGCTTCCTCACGGAGAAGGCCGTGTTCGCCGACTGGGCTCGAACCCTCGACATCCACTTCCACCGGCCGGACTGGGAGCCGGCCGCCGCTGCCAACGGCTCCCGCGCTCCGGCCCCCGGCTGGATCCCGGGGTCCAACCCGGAGACAGGCGAGCGGACGTCTGGCGCCGTGGGCCGCGTGAAGGCGCGGGACGGCAGCCGAGGCAGCTCATGGCAGGGCGGGGTCGCCGCGTGACGGCAGCACGAAGCCCAGCGGGACGGTTTGAAAGGTGTTTTACGGGATGAATCTCACACCGGAATCAAACACGGCAATAAGGAACTTATCAACTACTCACACGTTGACGTTGTTTTTCATTTTTGTTGACACCTCACAACAATACAGAGTAAATAAACAGTGCCGGCCCGTCATATTTAGCTGTAACAGACAAGCTATGTATATATATTCAATGACAGAAGCAACGCATCACATTGTATCATGTATGTATAGTGCAATAAATTCAAGAATCATTAGGGTTTGTAGAAATAACTTTTGTGCAGCAGGCAGCCTTCATTGATATGAAGTGATGCTAGTCTATTGTAATAGTATTGTCATTAATTAGTGTATTGATTTTTTTTCAATGATGACTGGATTCATTGTTTTGTCCGTTAAATGTCAACAATGTCGACAATTGTGAGAAATTACCTTTAAACACTGTTAAAGCCGACACAGCGAGGTCCTGAGACGTCCTCTTTGGATTTGACTGGACAAACGATCAAATTGGAGAAGATGGAACCAGTAAAGGGTTTTCATTTTCACTAGAATAGATGAAAACATGTCACACCTGGATGTGCAGCAATGATTTTTCGAGAGATGCATGAACTGAACATTTTTTGTTCGTTTTTCTTGCTGGTGACTCGGAAATGGAAATTTTCTGAACCTGTATAATAGAAAAGCTGTCTAATTTTTACACCAGAACATTTTAACTACATTAAAGGAATGTTAAATGTCTGTATATTTCTGAATAAAGCTTGAACCAGCATTGCCTGGACAAATTAAATACAATTACTATTACTAGTACTGTTGTTAATCACATTATTTGGACTCTTGACATCAATATTTCAATAAAACTGGTGGTAAATGTTGTTCAAAAAGCAAAACTACGTACAGCAAATGTATCAGAAATGTGAACGTAAACCACAACAAGACATTTTGTTCGCAAAATCAAAAAGAAAAAAATTAAACTTTCAAAAATGTAGTAATTTGATTTAAAAAAACAAGTGTAAAAGTAATCTTTGAATCGCACCCAGACTCGATCTGGATTAAAGCAATTATTCTCTAACAGATGGCCCCTCAGAAAGGCCCATGTGTCTGATACTGGGGGCCACGTTCCGTCCTGAAGCCCTCTGAGGCACTTTCTACCTTCATCCCCGACCCTCCGGCCTGCGCCTGCATGTTAGCGAGGGATTACACCGTATCTCCGGGGTGAGATACCTGTTCCCCTGCACAGGTGGAATATTAACGTTACACTTCTCGCAGGTGCTCTGAGAAAAAAGCTCGTGCAGCGCTGGAAGGACGACGCTAACTGGCTGCTCTGCACACCAACTAGAGAGTCCTCAGGTGGAAAGTTTGCAAAAGGACGAGCTGGCTGCACGTGAGCATCCCGCCGCTGTCTTTCACGCACGGAGGCGTCATCGGGATTGAAAACCTGGGGAGACGAAGGTGCTCGGGGCAAAGCGGGGCTGTCCCAGGCCTACTGGCACCTCTTCATGCTAAGCTAAGCTAACCAGCTGCTAGCTGCAGCCACACGTTTGCCATTCTCTCGTCTAACTCACGGTTTCTCTTCCTTTAGGCTTCAGCCCATCGAATTAAAACGATGAGTATCGGAGAAAGAATGTGATGGATTATATTCAGTTCATATCAAATGTTGGCTTGAATCATTTAAGATGACTTGGGGCATAATTTCCTACATTGTTATGACATTCGACCTATTCAAGACATTTGGGATTTCTGAATAAAAAAAAACATTTTTACAGAACGGCCTCCCTCTCTCATTTTCAACATTTAGTATAAGACAAAACAAATGTATTTCTTTACAATATGACAGAAAAAGCAATAATCAGATGTGTGTTCCACACGTGGTGATTGTTTAGCATTCTATTGTACTGAATTGTGAGCACTGAAATGAACAGCAAAATATGATATTATAAGAAATGTTTTAGTAAAGCAAGTCTCACCAATGCAGTGAAGTTTTAAGTCAGTCGGAGAAATGTTGCGGTGTTTAACACTTTTATAAACACCCCTGTTTGCGTTAATTGTCACGTCCTTCACACATACAGGGACCCACACACCTGCTGTTCATAAGAGCAGTGTGTGAAACCGTCTGAGGTACAGAGATGCTGCTCTTCGTGAAGCAATAGTGACGCAAAGGTATTTTTTGAAAGACTAGAAGGCAATAAAAAAAAAAAAAAGCAAATACAGAACTGTGACGTGAGGCTGCAATGACACCTCGTGGCTGCAAGCGTCTCTGAATTGTCTGTGCAGACCAACAACCTGAAACGGTTGGATTTGTAACATAAGAGTTGCAGCACTTTAGTAATGGGCGATTATTATTATCATTTATGAAACATAAAAAATAATGAAATCAGATATCTGGCATTGATAAGATCCATTTCACTCTAAAGGGGTTTTGTGTCTTAAAGCAGTTTTCATCTGTCTTTACTTACGGTGCAACAAAAGATGAAATTAAACCATTTAACATCCATATTTGTTTTGTTGTTTTAGTCTATTGTCCCAGAAGGAAGGATTTAAAGATGTCTGACTTCAGCAGCTCCTAGTGGTAGTTCTACTGTAAAGCACATCCTCTGTATTAGTTTGCTCTCAATTGAGTTATGACAATGATAACGTCCTATTTTAGTTCCTTTATTTACACTAAATACATGTAATCTCCTCAGCTCTTAAATTCATTTCAGTTTGTGGCATCTGCATTGGTGAGATTTTACATTTATTTTAAATTTATTTTCTTTATTCTTTATTTATTTTTAAATACTTAAATTAAATTAAAAAAGAAAATGTATAAATGTGAGTGTTATGCAGTCTTTTCGTGTTTTATGTGCCTGTAAAGTTACACAGATTTAAAGGACTGAAAAGAAGAAATGGACAATTTCACCAAACGCAACAAATGGAGACACAAAAACAAAGATTTTCTTGCCCTCACTGGTGTCAAAGAGGCCCCTTCTTTGCCACTCGCTGTTTGCGTTTGTGCTTTCTGCAACGTCGTGGTGTTTTCCGGTGTGGATTCACAAAGTGAGGTGAAGTGTTCCCTTGATGTTCCTCCCTCACTTGCTCCTACTGTTCTCTCAGCACTTTATTCGACTCGGAGACACCACGCAATCGCTGTTCTTCAAAACTTTACTTTTCCTTACGACCACTTGTGCTGAGCAGCCTTCACTCACCAGGCGATGCAGTCGCTGCTTTTCTCTGCCACCAGATGTGGTGGACGACCACGACCAGATGTTATTGGACAAGTAGGTGCAGAATACCTTTCCAGTCTGATCTATTTATTTCCGCTGTTGCGTGCTGACGAACTACAGCCACCTCGTAAATTTGGTTTCCAGCCATTTCACTCGTTTTGTCTCCACCTCAACCGGCCACACGGGGCGAGAAATGCAGAGGAGATTCATGGTTAGGCCCCAAAACGCTGTATATAAATATAAAGGATCACAGAGCTGTAATAAGAGAACAGGATGATTAGTGATCCTGACTTCACGTTGAAGGTTTAGCTCCATGATAACTAGATTGGGCCACTAGTTGAGCTTCTAGGAGACCACAGTCAACAAGCAAGTTACCATGGGATGTAAAACTGAGTTTTACACACAAACAGTGAACTCTGCGTTGTGTTTGAGATATTAGCAAAAGGTGGAAGGGTAGAAGCTAACCCAACCTGTTCAACCCGCTGGGGATCTTCTTTTTTCCTCTGGACTGACCGCTTGTCTCTACTTGATAACCAGCTTTCACAAATGTTGCCACTGCCTCACATGTGTGGCGCAAACTGTGCTGCTTTTCAATTTTCCAAAATGGGTGAAATCGCTTGGTCAGGGTGACAGAGAGGAACAAAAAAAAAGAAAAATGATGACGGGACGTACGAGGCGATTTCGGAGCGAAAGGAAGGGTACATTGGTTACCTGTGAATCTTGGAACGGGGAAGAGGGAGTGTTTTTTTTTGCGACAAAGCAGAGACACAAAGGCAAAGAAGTCCGGCATTATGGGTAATCTTCCCATCTCGCGCCATCTGCTCCCGGCTCCATCTGAGCCCCAGTCGACGAGGCCCACAAATGAACGTGATTGCGCTCCCGTGCCCGTGCTTTGCCTGCATTGTGACCCGGCACTCTGCTGCCTGTCATTACAGCAGACACTGTGTGACACCACACTTGAAGGTGTAATGTCACCTGCGGAGAAGATTTCACCTTGTTGGATAATTAGGGAACCATTTGGGCACATGAGAAGGGGCGATCCGACAAGTCAATTATAGGCTTTTCAAATAAGTGAATTCATCGCGAAGAAAAAAGAAAAAAGCTTTTTGTTGTCGTCCCTTCCGGGACTCTTTCTGTACGCTGTTGAAATTGTATTAAAATATATACTTTTTCAAGGATGAAGCGAAGCTGCTGGATCTTCTTCTCCAAAAGCCATTGAGTTGATACTTCTTATATTCCGTTGAATGCGATAAATTCTCAATTTAAAAGACGTTACAAAATCGTGTGTGTAGGTTACGATTGAAGACATAATTAAATCACCAAAACACAGAAGTATCCGTGGCACAGTTGTTCAGGTCACGGAGACCTCAGAGTATTTGTGGTCAATAAGATGGATGTGGTGGAAATACAGAGAAAAAACCCAACAACTTTCAAACGGCTCGTTCAGAACGGAACAGGAACTGTACATTCATGTTACAAAGCACTCAGATTATCCTCAGGTCATCTGGGACAAGACACCTGAGTCAAAAGCAAGCGAGTGGAAGCAGCTTTTAGTCTCCATAGTGCTGCAGAGAGCACAAACCGAAAGCATGAAGCAAAGAGAAGCTGGCAGAACGACACGCGCAACGATACCACGACTTTGCTGCTACATCAATGACGTCGCTCCTTTTAACCAAAACTATTCAACCAAAAGGATTTGATGTCTTTATTCATTTGCGCTTCAAAATTGCAGACGTTTAATACATATATGGGAGACGTATTCATTTGTTGGTTAGTTTCTAGATGTTGTGTGTGTGTGTGTGTGTGTGTGTGTGAGCGAAAGTATTTATATTAACTTTGATTGCCACTTCAAAGAAACAAAATACAATTTCCTAGTGGAACACATCATGCAGTGCGGCTATCGTTGAAATAATGGGAGATAATTTAGAGGATAAAAGGCAGTTAAACGATCGCTGCCTATTTGCAATCAATGACAATAATGGGGTTTTGATTACACTGCAGAAATGGACGGTACCCTAAATTCCAACACATTTAGTATTTTACTAATGTGTATTTTTGCAGATAATGACTTTAATGGTTAGTATTTAGTAACTATGACAAAGGCAGCAGACGTTGGATGTTAAACTAATGACCAAATATTTGTAACTAAAGACATCCATTTCTTAAGTCCAATGAAACACTGAATGCAGTGTTTCATTGGACTTAAGAAGTCTTTCTTTGTACCAGTGGACTCAATTCATAAAATGCATACTGCAATTCCGATATGCTTTTAATCCCAACCTCTTATTTGCAGGCTGATTGTTGACAGAACCAAACTCCGGCTGACTTTCCACCCTCATCTTTCCACACAAAGAAAAAGAAACACAGCAAAGGACACAAATTTAACAATGTCTGGTGAACAAAGAGAAGGAAATACGTTTTGGAGGGAAGAAATAAGGCACTTTTTCCCAGACTTCCGGCATAATGAAGCATTTAGGTTGGGTGGTCGTGGCGCAGGGTTGGTGGTTCGAATCCCGGCTGCCCCATGTCCCATGTCGAAGTGTCCCTGAGCAAGACACCTAACCCCTAAGTGCTCCCCAGGCAAAATGTAAGAGCCATGGGTTAAAAATATAATATAAGTCGCTTTGGATAAAAGCTAAATTACCTGTAATGTAATGTAATTTAGGTGCTTTAGGGTGCGACAGTTTAGTACGAACACCCCGATGCAATGATGACTGTAAATGCACTAAAATCGCAGTACTACTGCAATACAAAAGACAAAAGGGAGATTGATTGAGCATTCAGCATCATGACGATGATTATTGCTGGAATGTGGGCAAAGTTGGGTTCGATGCACAAACTTCTAGATGATGTGAAATGAGCTTTTAGCCGACGTGTGTGTGACCCCCAGGTTGTCTGACTCAGTTGCCTGGCACCAAGACTAACGCTCAGGAACTGTTATGTTAAGATGTTCCAGGCACTGAGCTGACGTCATGGAGACGATATCAATCAATATGCTGACCCCGGAGTCTATGGGTTTGATAAGCTTAGTGGGTCTGGGACTGCACTCGCTTGGTGGAAATGCATGTGCGCTCAAAGGCAACTTGGCGTCCTGCCCGAAATGATCACACCATCATCGCCCGTCAAACGTTCTCTGTCACTCAAACATAGCCTGTTTGCATTGTTAGTTCTCTTCCATGTGCTAAAACCAAGCGCTTTCATGTGTAACTCCACTCTTCTGACACACCTTGAATGGCGCTTTGGTTAAAAATGCAGTTTTGCATCTTGATTCTTGTTGTTTTGGGTCTGTAACCATCTTGGTTGGATTCACTTATTGTAAGTCGCTTTGGATAAAAGCGTCAGCTGAATGGTATGTATATGTATGTATATATGTTACGAACAACAGCACTTTATATTTGTTCATTTCAAAACATCAAAACAACATTTTTATACTGAAATTAGGCCCAAATGAAACAAATTTTAAAAAGGACACGCAAACAACTGAAGAAGGATGTGAGTTTGTTTGTGTTTAACTATTGTCTTTGCACTGTAGTCTAAACTAAACGTACTACATAGCTTACTTAATTGTGTGCACTTGCAGCTTTAATTAACTCTTGGATAAAGGCTGTCTTTGTCATAAGAAAGGTGTGACTATTAGAACACATCAGCCCGGCATTCTCAGCATTCTGTGCAGCAAGCAGAGACATTGTGTAGCTGCTAAAGACTGGCTCATAGTTTCTTCCTTTTACACCCTCAGAAATGGGGAAAAAACCGATTTATTTTAAATAGCATTTTTATTATGATTGTTATTATATCAAAAGGGATTGGATTATGAATATTGGTATTAGATCATATTCTATAGGGCCTATTTTCTATTTGCAAAGATGGATGAAAAATGAAATATCAAGGAGGAGGATGTTACACATGGGTACAATAGAAAACACATTATAATAAGAGGATTTAACATCTGGGGAAAAACACTTCTTAATCCTTTTTTCCATCAATAAAGCGCATTGGACGGCGGATCACTCGTGCGGCTGCAGACACGCAGTCCTTTTACTTGTAGGAAAGTTAATCATGCGCGATTATCAAAGTTGAGGGCGTGCACATTCTGCCGACACTCCATTTCCGTTTGCATGCCGCAGAACTCAAGCATTTTTGTTTTTTGCCTTTATTTTGTGAGGGTGTGACGGGTGTGCTTGTGTTTGAGCCACCGAGGCGGGTTTGAGGCTGAAAGTGACACCTCGCAGACTGACGCGCGTCCGCGGTCTTCCAGCGGAGCGCCGACGCGGGAACAAGTCGCGCTGTTCGCAGTACGATGGCATTTGCCGCCGGAGCGACCGCGCGTCGAGTCGCTTCTCCGATCGTCAAAGAAGACGCAAAGTGACGGCGACATGTGGCGAGTTGCGTGAGGGAGGAACAAACGAGAGGTAAGGAACCGGGCGAGATTTTAATTAACCGGCCAGGATGAAAAATGACCTAAAATACATAATACATAAAAATGTAGGATGTTTTTCATTTTAATATGCCAGGACGTTCACTGTCTCCATAGTTACACCCCAAAGCGCACGCGGTGCTGTAAAAATATAAAGCTGCATCTGTTAGTCAGAGAAACTGATTCAATTAATTTCTCAAAAAATACTAAACGCAAAAAAAAGCTATTTATTTGCAACAATGTCGGGGAAAGTGATTCATCCTCTATTTATCCCTTCCTTCAGATTTCAGATGTCCACCATGTCAGCCAATGGGAGCTCAGAAACAGCTTACGGGTCAGAGTTCGGCCCGAGCAACAACACCGGCAGCCGGAAGGAAATGTCCATCGTCGCCTCCGGCGTCTCCATGACTGTGGGCATCTTCTCCAACGGCCTCGCGCTCTTCATCCTCCTCAAATCCTACAACCGCATCCAGATCAAGTCCAAGGCGTCCTTCCTGCTGTTCGCCAGCAGCCTGGTGGTCACCGACCTGCTGGGTCACCTCATCAACGGCTCCCTGGTGATCCTCGTCTACGGCTTCCACAAAGAGTGGGAGACGTTCGACCCCCACGGCATCACGTGCAGCGCCTTCGGGGCGTGCATGGTGTTCTTCGGCCTGAGCCCCTTGTTCTTGGGCAGCGCCATGGCGGTGGAGCGCTGCATCGGCGTCACCAGGCCCATCTTCCACTCCACGGCGCTGGCGTCCTACCACATGAAGCGGCTGCTGGCACTCACCTGGCTGCTCGCCGCCCTGGTGGCGGTGCTGCCCGTGCTGCTGTGGAGGCCCTACAAGGTTCAGAGCTCCAGGAGCTGGTGCTTCTTCCACATGGAGGGACCTAAAGACTGGCTGGACGTGCTCCTTCCCTTGGTCTTCTCCGTCCTGGGGCTGATGGCCCTGATGCTCTCCATTGTGTGCAATGCGATGACGAGCTGTGCTCTCCTGCGGGCCCGACTGCGCCGCAAGCACCACTGTCGAGGCACGTCCTACCACATAGAGATGATCTGCCAGTTGCTGGGTATCATGTTGGTGTCCTGCGTGTGTTGGGGCCCATTGCTGGTAAGAATGTCATGACGTCATGAAAATGAGTTGAAACGCATTGTTAGTATTAATTATTACTTTACATTGTCACACGCGTCACATTTCTGAGCTTAAAACCACAGGTTACCACGGCTTGTGAACATTGGTAGGTACCAAGTGACAGTCAGAGGCAGTGAGACGGGTTCTTTAATGAGAAGGAACGCTTTATTAACTGTGATGAGAACATTAGCTTCTTTTTAAGGTTTCCGCACCGCTGCTTTTGTTATTTTCCATTTGTCCTCCCTTTCACTGTTTGATGCCAATGTTGAAGCTCTCAGCGATTCGATTAGGACCAAAAAGGAAAATGCTATAATTGCCCTTTAAAATATTCACTTTCTCTGGCAGAAAAGGACACTCATTTCAAGCCGCCTCTCCTGCTCGACGACAATTTCCCCTCCGTACTTTTATCGCTGCTGCAAAAGTGCACTGAGGTCTCCATTAGATCCGAACGTGACTCCCTCTTCTTCCACTTCATAGAGCTACTTTCATCACACATTTTAATAGTACCTGTTTCTGGCAATATGACCAACAAAATGACTAAATTTCCTTTGGGTTGTTCAAAAACACACTATTCTGACAGTGACAACGCAGTAAACAAATATTACATTACATGTCGTTTAGCTGACGCTTTTTTATCCAAAGCACCCGTAATTTTTGGGTTGGCCGTCTTGCTCAGGGACACTTCGACGTGAGACATGGAGCAGCTGGGGTTCGAACCGCCAACCTCGCGGTTACCGCCGCACCCTCTCGGTGGCACACGGAGTAGAGACGGCGCATATTATTTATGAATTATTTGGCAATCAGAATGCAGATGATAGTGTGTCGAATCCCTATTTTTTGGTGGAGGATACTTTGCTCTCATACAAACAATAAACAATAAAGTTAATATCTATTAAATAAAGAAGTGGAGTTATATTGCATGCTACAGCTGATTGCGTATTTGTCTCGATATCCAACAGCTGTTCCATTTTTTCTCACTCCCCCAGATCCGCGTCATCATGCTGAGCACCAGGGCCAAAGACGAGCCCGCCTCCTTCAGCCTCCTGATGGTGGTGCGTATGGCCACGTGGAACCAGATCCTGGACCCCTGGGTCTACATCCTGCTGAGGAAGGCCATCCTGAGGAAAATGTTCACGCTGCTCCACGACTGCTGCGGTCCAAAGTCTCGCTTCGCGCAGCGCTGGCAGCGCAGCGTGCTCCGCAGCTCGCTGGAGACCAGCAACTCGGGCTTTGGTCCGACCGACTGCCGCCTCCTCGGTAGATTACCGGAGACTGCGATCAAGTCCGTCGCCTGAGGCCTGAGGTCACGCGAGATGATATGACCACATCATTTGAGAAAAGGAAAACGGAGTAAGCTATGAAGTTGTGCAGAGCTTTGTTGGAATACAGACAATCAAAGTTACTGGATATGAACTACCATTATAAAGGCAGTTTTCCAGCTCTCTTTGCTTAATGGAAAATATGATCTGTTAGTCATGTGCTCTATTGTGTAATGTGGGATTCATTTTTTGTTGTTGTGGCAATACAAGTGGGTTTACAATTGTAATTGAATTGTTTTCAGCATTTAGTTTTGTCTTTTATACTTTGTCTTTGGGCTTCAAATTTGAAGAATTGTCGTTTTTGTTCCATTTTGAGCGTGTATTCAAGTGGAAAAGCTGTAATACGGCATCACTGCTCTGGGCATAACGCCACAGAGAGTTAAAATACTTAAATATATACTGTATATACATATGTATTGCGATACTTCAGCAGCCCTTATAAGTTCATTGACCATTGTGTTTCCTTTTTTTGGTGATGGAGAGTGACTTAACTGACATCTATTTAAATGAAAATAGTGCTACTTTTTCACCCCTGTGTTACTTCACGGTGTCTGTGTACAAAATGAGTTTGAAACATTCCCAGTGCTCAAAAAATATTGCTTCCAGGTTTGTTCTGTCACTCCTTTATTGAATTTTTTGTTAAGGATTTTTACTGTGCTTAGTTGTCTTTTGTTATTGCTGACAGAAGCCACACTTGGATTCAATCAGCTTCTGGACAATGTCAGATCTCTAAATGTATCTGTATTATTATGTGAACATGTAGAATGCAGTAGACGAATGTTTGTAGCAGGATGCACAAAATACTGTAACTGAGCTCATGATTTATTACGATCCAGTCTATAGAAATACTAGATGACGATCGCAGTTTGATGAAATGTAGCATCTGTCCATCTACTGTATCAGACAGAGCAGTCGGTCAGTGGTCCACTCATGCGTTGGAAGCACATCATCTCTGTCTCGTAAAATCTATGTGAACATTTTCTTTGGGATATACTGTGTAATATAGGTGGAAATTAAAAAACTAAGCAAAATGACAAATGTTGTCATAGGTGATGATCAGGGTCATATGTGTTAGGTCGAAGTCAAGAGTGTGGCAGCAAGATAAATAAAGACATTCTATGAGTCCATTTCAACCTATTTCTAACTATTAAATGCCAAATAATTACATTATTTACAATGTATCGGTCATGACAAAGACATAATAACTAACTGATTAATATGCCAGCTGTCATTTGTTGACAGAGCTCTTGATAATTACAGTTCCTACTGTTACTTTTGGGGCGTCACAGTAATTTGGCTACACTAGCTTCAATTCACAATTCTTTTTTCACAAACAAAAAAGAGCAACAACTAAATATGTTTGTTTCTTTAGACTTTTCCACAGTTCAATATCTTAAAGAAATGTTTGAATCATTAATTGTCACAATGGTTGCGGGTGAAGTCAGTCGGCAGTGGGTAAAGAGGCGTTTGTTGATGTAATACATAAACCGTCCTGCAGGGGGCAGCGCAACATTCAAACCCTTGCAGCTACAAAACAGAGCACAGAAGAAGAAGAACAGAAATCCGTATGGGTGTGTGACGCCAGCTCTTCCTCGTTACCTCCATCTTTCGCCCCAGCGCGCGCCCGTGTGGACGTTTGAACAGGTTTGGGATGAAACGTGTTGATTTGTGCTCGTCGCTGCGCAGTCGGACGGGAGCTGTCCGGCCGAACCGAGCCGTGACGTGCCGTGTTCGGTCTGTAGGCCCCCGTGTTGTGTTGTCATGTCTGCAGCTGCTTAACACACACACACACACACACACGCGCGGACACTGACTGACACAGACTGACAACTTGGAGCTCGTCTCAGTAGAGGTATAATGTCCTCCTGTGTTTTTAATACTTTCACCTTGTTGATGGACCATGTGTTACTGGATTCAGTGGGGACTGGACTGGGTTCTGGGGGAACCGGACTGGATTCTGGGGGAACCGGACTGGACTTCTGTCTGATCGGCTCGTGTTGTTGCTGCAGCTTCACGGTCGACAGGGCAAGCAGCTGCTGCAGAATGCTACGTTTGTTTTAGCTGCTTACACGTGAAAGGTATTTGTTATTCAATATTCATTTCGGTTTTATTGTGTAGGTGAGAGAATGAATCAAGAAAAACTGGCAAAACTTCAAGCCCAGGTCCGGATAGGGGGAAAGGTAAGTTGACAACCAGGAGGTGGTGTTTTGTTTTGATTGTAAAGGTGTTATTTCCTCATGAGAATTTATTTACACTTGACCAAAAGTTATGAGACATCTGGCAGCAAAAAAGTTATATTACTATTGTATTTTTGCCGTCCTTTGAGATCAGCTGACTACTGCTGAAATGTAAATATATTGAAAAGTAATGATAACTTGAATATCATATATTTGAGTTGCTATTAAAGTGTGCAGAGGGGAAACTATTTATTATTATCTTATATTGTAAATCCCGGGTTACAAAGGGTCAAACAGATCATGAAAATATCATGTGGTTCTGTGGGAAATTGTTATGAGTGTGTTTATACTGTTTTCTGACACTTATTCAAGCACTTTTGGTAAATTATGTGCAGCTCTTCTTGCTGTGTTATGGTCTCAGTGTGTCCGATTACACCGAAGTCATCAATTTAAATTAAGATATTTGACAAGAAATGATAGAATAACATTGTAAGAAGTGTAACGAACAAACAAAACAGCTTTTAACGTTAAGTTAAAAGATAAAGAAACAGTCAACTTGGACATAAGTCTGCCAGAACAATACTTCAGTATAGATAAATTGCCATCGTCACAAAAACGCAGAAGACACTGACACATGGAGATGCAAAAGTACCAAAGATAAATTCATCACAAAGTTTGTCCACCAGAGAGCGTTTTATAAACAACGGATTTTCATTAAAGCTGTTTGTAATATGTTTATGCATCCATGTAATATAACAACTCACGCATATCTTTAATTTTCAGTTCCAATGGATTTTGAACAAAAACATATGGCGACTTCTTTTATTCTTTCAGGGATCTGCACGCAGGAAGAAGAAGGTGGTACACAGAACTGCAACAGCTGATGACAAGAAGCTACAGAGTTCACTTAAGAAATTGGCTGTCAACAATATCGCTGGAATTGAGGAGGTACATTTGCCCGGATCTTCTTCTCTAATTGACCCCCGAACATAGTGTCTCTTTTCCCTTTTTAACAAGATGCATTCTCACCGCGTGGACCTGACCGCTTTGCTGTTTGCCCACTTTGCACTCTGCGCGTGAGAGCAACCTCTCACGTCATGACACCAAGGCGTTCAGCCCGCGCAGTTAAACCGCGAACGCTCTTTGTCTCCCGAGGTGAACATGATCAAGGACGACGGCACCGTGATCCACTTCAACAACCCCAAAGTTCAGGCCTCCCTGTCCGCCAACACCTTCGCCATCACGGGCCACGCCGAGAACAAGCAGCTGACGGAGATGCTTCCCGGCATCCTCAGTCAGCTGGGAGCGGACAGCCTCAGCAGCCTGCGCAAACTAGCGGAACAGTTCCCTCGGCAAGGTGGGTGTGCCTCGACCTCTGACCTCTTGGGATAACTGCGAAAGAGGGGGAGGATTTAGGGTGAGGCATCTGCAGCTGAGAGCACAGGTGTGGTTTAGGATTATTAGGGTGGTGTGTGGCGTATTGTGGTGTGAAGCCATTTTAGATGTATAGATTTTGCAATGCAAATGTTCAAAAACGGCTCACATGTATGTAATATGACGTTCAAGAGGGCCAAATGATGCCCTTAAACAGCAAGGCACTGTCGTTTTTTAAGCAGAATTTACTCTAACTGGAGTGTGTGTATTTATTTGGGGACTGGTTTCAGCTGTGATTATTACATGTGCCTCTCTAGTGAGTATTTACAGCAGCAGAAAGGAGCATTCGCTCCCATGTGCATTGCAATAAAGCAGCTGGTCCCCCAGTGAAAAGATGGCTCACTGACTTTGAATTGTTTTAAAAAAAACAATGGGGGTGTATGTCTCTGAGGTAAAGGGTTGCATCAGTCTTTAGCCACACGGTAAATATTTGTTAGTAGAATAAATACATTTGTTTTTGCTCTTTTTTTTTTTTTTTTTCCTGGCATTTGTTAAACAACAATAAAATATAAACCTAAACATAAATGTTTATTGACAAAATATTACATCCCTTTTACAATAGAGTTCTAATGTGTTTCCTTTTTATTTGTACATTTTATCTCAGCTCTTGACAGCCAGGCTCCGAAGGCAGAGGACATCGAGGAAGAGGACGATGATGTTCCAGGTGCGTGCTTTTAGATCTCTAAAGTCTAAAAGCAAATTTCTAATAATTTGCATAATGCCGAGTCTGTTATTTATTCAGACGAAGGAGATCTGCTTTGCATAAGTGGTGTTTTGCCTACTCTAATCCTTGAATAAAATAATTCAGCCTGATACCATTTCGTTGAGTTGTAACATTTTGTCTTCAAATGCAATAACGCACAATGTGGTATTTTTCTGCAGATCTGGTGGAGAACTTCGACGAAGCGTCAAAGGACGAGGCGAACTGACACACGTGGAGTTCGCCGGCGCGCACGTGCGAACCAAGCAAGCGACCTCCTCCGGTGTTTTTATTGTCTAGTCATCCAGACGTATCAGACGCCGACCCCACCCGAAACCAACCAGAGACTTTTCTATTCAACAGTGACCCAAGGATGTCGCAGTCAGACTGGCCTGTGCACTTGAAAACAAATAAAAATACTCCCTTCGCGGGTAAACGGTCGAATCCCTCCACCAGTCAGGATCACAGCGGTCATTAAAGCGAGTCTTGAGGCTTTTGATTAAGGAACGAAATAAAGGTGATTAACATTTTTTATATGGTGCTGTGCTCATTGACAATTGTGTAAATATTAATGCTTCTCATCCAAGATGAAGATTTCAACTATGCATGTTGCACTAACAATATATGTGTGTATAAACGTGATGTCCTGTAGGACAGGTTATGCACATCTGGCGTCTTGGCTCGTGTTGTCTTGGCCTGCGCGCGGTGCTGGGGGGGGACAGGACATTTCTGCACACCTCTTGAGTTTCTTCAAAGAGCCGCAGAGCGAGAGAGAGAGAGAGAGCGAGAGAAAGACACGCGGGGGGAGGAGGAGGAGGGGGATCACTGAGAAGGGTTTGTGGAGGGGGCGAAATCATCCCATCGCGGCAAGGCGCTGCTGCTGCTGCTGCCGCTGCTGCTGCTGGGAAGCCGCGTGTAACGGGGAGAAAATGCTGAAGTTCTTCTCCGCGCGGGATGACGAGAATGAAAGCCTCCTGGGGGCAGTAACCGAGGGTAAGAATCGACTCTTTACCCCCCACACACACCCATCTGCCGCTCTCCCCATTCATTTTTCCTGAGCGCAGCACGGTGATGATACAGCGCGTCTCGTGTTTGTCACCGGGGGGGGGGAGGGAAACGCTGATGCAGCATTTCTGCCGCGCGCGTATTCCGCATCATCCGGAACGCGCGCGAGAGAAGTGTTGCGCACATTCCCCAGGGTGCCGACAAACACGCACCGTTCTCCGCGAGCCTCGCTCAGGGGGGGTTTAGTGGGGCGGGGGGGCTGATGTAACGGAGGGGGTGTCCGTGCCGAGTGTCCCATTGCCGCCGGCCTCTGGTGTGCCCCGCGGGCGGCAAAATAAACATTTGCGCGTGTGTTGAATGCGTCACCGTCCCGGGAAGCGGTGGCTCCTGTCAGCCGGATCGGGAGACCCCCACCCTTCAGCCCCCCCCCCCCCAGCAGCGGCGGCGACGCGGCGCGCCTCCCTGTTACAAGGCAGCTGCAATGCAGCTCAACCCTGGAGACTTGAACCTTTCCGTCAAACACACGCCGGAACCGCGGGGTGATTTCTGACTGTTTGAATTCCTCTTAGCGGTTCATAACTCAGCCGCTCAGTAAAAGCACCACGTTAACTCCCACGGGTGCGTTATAATGAACTGTGATGGTTATTGGCCTCACTACAATTTGAGGGTGAAGCGTTCAGGATCAGAATTATTATCACCATCATTATCACTTTGTCTTTGGAGCCACCGGAGACAAACAGTAGATGGGCGAATAAAGTCTGTTAATCCTCATGTTAATATTTGGGCGGTCAGCCAATCAAACACAGAAGCACTATTGGACATTTGGTTCTCGAGGGGGAACCGGCAGCTGTGTTGGTGTCATCAACTATACACACAGCTGCGATTGGTTTTCACATTAATGTTTAATTCACAAGCACACCTCTTATTTCCAACCCTGTTCTCTCAAGGGCGACTGAGTGCTGATGCTGCCTCTCATGATGATTGAACGCAGAGAGGTGTGTTCAGGGCGATGAATTCGATTCTCGCACGCTGTTAAATGGCCACTTAGCACATGTGAACATTTCCCACATAAGTCGTTATTAACAAGCAGTAAAACTTGTGTGTGTGTGTGTGTGTGTGTGTGTGTGTGTGTGCACGTGTGTGCTTGACAGAAGAAGCGATGGACACGTTGAGTGTCGGTGGTAATCGTGCTCTCCTTCGACACAGATGAAGGAGACAATCTGTCTCTCCGGGACACCAAGCGCCACTGGCTGAACCGACCCTGCGTGCTGGTGCTTAAAGATGGCGACGTCTCCAAACCGGGTTTGGGTTGTGGGCAAATAAGACCAGAATCCCCGTCTAAGGCTTCGTCTGACGCGTCCGTCACAAACGGCTCGGGGCCATGTGAGGAGAAGCCATCCGAGCATCCTGCCAAAACCGCTCCACCCTCCCGGCTGGAGGAAGGCAGCTGCACCGTGACCGCCATCTCCATGTGGGGGGAGAGTTGTTTCAGGGAGTCTCCCGGGCCACTGGTGCTGAGCCCTGCAGAGGCAGCGTGGCCGGAGGTGGAGGAGGAGGAGGAGGAAGAAGAGAAGGAGGCTGCAAAGGAGGAGGAGGAGGAGAGGAAGAAGAAAGAAGCCCCAGGATCTTCCCTCGAAGGAGGAGTCCGTGGTTGAGGAGAAGGAGCTGGAGGAGAGCAGGCTGGAGCAGCAAGAGCAGTCCTGCGGCTCGGAGGCGACAGGACCGCCCGCCGCTCCCTCGCGCGACGAGTCACGTGACAGGTGGTCCAAGGAGCTCCAGGGCCAGTTCAAGGCCCTCGGATGTAACGGAGGAGATGAGACGGGCAGGGCCCAGGCGGCCGGTGGGGAGGGAGCAATGGGCGACTGTGCAGCTTCTCCTCCGGACCCCGACAACGAGCTGAGCCCCGCCGGCATTCTGTCCAAGGACCGGGGCGCCGTCCTCGGCGAGGTGGCCCCCGTGTGGGTCCCCGATGCTCAGGCGCAGGTCTGCATGAAGTGCGGGGTCAAGTTCACGTTTACCAAGAGGAGGCATCACTGCCGCGCTTGCGGGAAGGTGAGGAGAGTGAACGTTTCTATTTGTGCATAAAATGTGGTTCTCAGTTGATGCGTGCCCCGTGCGCTTTGGGTACCGGCAGGTTTTTTGTGCGCTTTGCTCCAACCTGAAGTTCAGGCTTACACATCTGGACGGCAAGGAGGGACGAGTTTGTGTTTCCTGTCATTCAACCCTGGACAAAAGTGAGCACACGTTGCTTGTTTTGTTTTTCAGTTCGCAGCTTTTGAAATGGAACTCTGCCTCAGTAATCCTTCGTCCTCTCTTCAGGGACACCTCCAAGGGGAAGAAGGAGGGTGTGGTTTGCAGATGACATCCTCCCCAGCGGGCAGTCGGAGTCTGCTCCGACCTCGCCCGTCAGAGGGGCCTCGCCGCTGATGAGACGGGCGCTCGGCGGCCTGGTTGGAAGTCCTGTGAGTTCACCGCAGACCAGGAGAGCCTCTCGGCCACACAGGACGGGCGCCAACGTAAATATCAACATGTCTGCCGATGATCTGTCGCTAGTCAGAACGTGGGCTCAGTCCTCCGCCTCCCACCTCCTCTAGGAGGCCTGTGGTCCGTACGGCTGGGGCACCGCGGCTTTAGTGGGGAGCTCTGCCAACCTCATCCCGCTGGAAGGCCTGCCACCCATCCTCACCTCCACGGGAGTCAAAGGAGGTAAGGCAGATTCCATCCCGCTATGGGGGGGGTCAAAGGTCAGCGTGAGGCGAGGGGAAAGTCACAATGTGGAGGAGCAAAGGAAGAGACAGCAGCTTTCTACAGAACAATATTGATGAGCGGGTTGTTTACAATAAGATATCGTAGGATTAGTGTTTATATTTCTTGATCATTTCCACTTAAAATTCAAGTCAAGTAGCCGGCCATTATCGCTACAGCCCCGAATGCATAGATACTAGTTTACAAACCACAATCACCACAGGAAACTTCACAGTAAATCAAATCTCAAAGTACCCAATAGAGAGTAAACGTACCTAAATGGTTACACGAGGGAAGATTACACATTATTACTTAAAATAGGTTTATTTAATATAGCCATAAGGCGTCTCGCGGGAGGGGCCTGCTCAGTGAGGGTCATCACTTTGCTGTTAATGACAATGTGCATCCCGCTCCGCTGGGGGGGGGGGGGCGTTTAAAAAGAACGGTATTAACAAAACAAACCTGCCCTTCCCACTCAACTAGACCAGGGCTCAGAGAACGCACAGGCGTTCATCTTCAAATATCGTCTTTAAAGTCACAGTGTCCACCGACTATGGATCCAAGTAGGCTACAGCATCTGAAAAGTAAGTTTCCGCGACGGCTCAAAGCCAAAGCAGTGGAAGATCCAGCAATGTTGCTTCGTCTTTGTCCCTCAGATTATACTGTGGAGGAGCAGCCCTCTGAGATGCTGCTCATCCAGGAGCTGGAGAGTGGCAGGCCCAAACCCCTGGTGTTCGTCCTCAACGCCAACCTGCTGGCAATGGTCAAGCTGGTCAACTGTATGTCTCTTTTGATTGAAGTTTTCCTCAAATAACACAGCATATTGTACACCTGTTAAATGAAACTGTTCATTGTTATTGACTACAAAAAGGTTGCTCTCGTAAATAAACTGTCCTTGTAGACCTCTGAGGTATTTGCCTTGATTGCGTGCCAGATGTGAACAGGAAGTGCTGGTGCGTGACGACAAAGGGAATGCATGCCGTGGGCCAGGCGGAGGTGGTGCTGCTGCTGCAGTGTTTGCCTGAAGAGAAAAGCTTCCCCAAAGACATTTTCAGCCACATCATCCAGCTGTACAGGGACGCCCTCACAGGTCAGAGCCGCACGCATGAAATGCTGACGTACTGGAATTTCCAACGAAAGTGATGTGTTATATTCTGCGTCCCCCCCCCCCCCCCCTCTCTGTATCTGTGCAGGGAAGGTGGTGAAGCACCCTGTTCGCTGTCCTTGTTTCGGCGGCGGCAGCTTCCTGGGCAGGCGAGGAGCACTGCGGGCTTCCTGTACCTGCGCTCCACCCTCCAGTCCCTTCAAGGTCTGCCTCTGCCGAACCAGCCGTACCTCTTTGGCCTGCTGGTCCACAGAGCAGAGGTGGCCTGGGCCAAAGCCTTTCCCTTGCGCCTCGTGCTGCGATTGGGGGCCGAATACAGATGTAAGCCAGGGTCCCCCCCCCCCCCCCCCCCCCCCCCACCCTGGCCAGAAGGAAGTGCCAGGTCTGTAACGCTACAGGGTTCCTCTTCAGTCAGCAGCTTTCTTCTTTCTGCTTCCAGTTTACCCGTGTCCTCTGTACAGCGTGCGCTCAAGGAAGCCCCTGTTTGGGGAAATTGGCCACACCATAATGCGACTCTTAGTGGTGAGTTTTGGAACACCTCCTACAGATCGTTTTCGGTGTCCAAACTTTGACCAAACATTCCCCCGTTCTGTCCCGTCATGTTCCAGGACTTTAGGAATTACCGCTACAGCCTGCCGATGGTGCCGGGGCTCACTGTGGATCTAGAGGCTCAGAGGACCTGCATAAAGATCCCGACCACTGGGTATAATGAGGTACGACTACGCCTTCAAACGCCTCAAAGGGTGAACAATGGTATATCATTGTTAACACACATAAGTATTTTAACCAAGTGTCGCCCTCCCCTCTTATCAGCTAATGAAGGCATTGAATAAGTCAAACGAGCACGTGCTGGCCATCGGGGCGTGCTTCAACGAGACTGCAGACTCCCACCTCATCTGCGTGCAAGGAGACGACGGCCAGTACCAAACCCAGGCCATCAGCATCCACAACCAGCCACGCAAAGGTGGGCCACTGCCGGCTACTGAGAGGCACACGCGGACATCAGAGTCGGGACTGAATTTGTAGCAAATGCTAAATATGTAGACACGTGCAAACCCGTAACGCTTTATATTAATTGAGCGGCAACTTCAAATCCATTCTTGGATTTAAACATTTAACATGGATGAAGTTGTATTGGAAATAGATGTTTAGTATAAACAGAATAGATTTTTTTAACGAGCCCAAAGGAGAATTAAAGTAAAACCAAAATAAAGAGGTTCTCTCGTGTAACACTAGATGGCACAGCAGGCCAGTTTCTTTCGTGTTACTATAAACCTAATGTATCAGCATCGGGAGCTACAGTTTGTCTAAAGGTGTTTCCTTCCTTGCCTTTTTGTTGTTGCAGTTACTGGATCGTGCTTTTTTATATTCAGCAGTGCGCTGAAAGCGTCTGCAGGATACCTCGCCAAGTCCAGCATCGTAGAAGGTAGGAGGTCTGCTCACAGGGGAGTCAGGTTCACCTCCACATCATTGCTTACATATTTGTATTATTAAAGAAAGTAAATTAGTGCATGTAAAACTGCTTTGAGCCTGCGTTATTCAGAATGTGTGTGTATATGTGTGTGTCTGTGTACATTTTAACAGACCGTTTGTCCAAGCGTGCGTACATGTTGATGCATGTGAGTGTACGTGTGTCCGTTCGTGTGTTTCTCCTGTATCGCTGTCCCCTCTCACCCAGACGGGCTGATGGTGCAGATCACCGTGGAAACCATGGCCGAGCTGCGCCGCTCGCTGCGGGACATGAAAGACTACTCCGTCACCTGCGGACGGCTCGACCAATCGGACAGCCAGGAGCTCGTGTGTGTCCAGTGGGTGGAGGAGAAATGCTTGGTGAATAAGGGGTGAGTCTGTCCGTGTGTTTGATGTGCACGTGGTTGAACAGTGCTTTTTGTGCTTAGAGGGATCAATAAAACGCAGTGAATGGCCTCTTGAGACGATAACGTCTTTTATTTCCGTCCCGTGTGGTAAACGTGTGTCCTCCAGACTCGTGAACACCATCGACGGGAAATCCATGGAGTCCATCTGCAGCACGAAGATGTTTCAGAAGTCAGAATACAAAGAAAACGGAAAGATCATCCGCTGGACAGAAGTATGAAATTCATTTGGATTCCAGCTCCTTAGATGTATTATTCTCATTTATTTCTGTGAGTTGTGCATAAAACAAAACCCCCAAAGACCCCCCCGCTTTGAGACACAAAAACAACCTAGTGCTTCATCAATAAGAAAAATCAACAGTTTAATGGACTAACGATTATTTACAATGTCTATCGCAAACTGCCCCCTCCACATGCATACCCTCTCTATGTGCCGTGCAGGTGTTTTTCCTGCAGAGGGGGCATCAGCCCAAGGGGGGGGCGAGTGACTCTGCTGAACACGACCGGTTAACGGAGCGGATCGCTCGGGCCTTTTGCCTGGCGCTGTGTCCTCACCTCAAACTGCTCAAAGAGGACGGGATGGCCAAGCTGGGGCTGCGTGTCGCCTTTGAATCCCAAGAGGTCAGAAATGTTTGCCGTCACGGTGACGATTTGTAACGACCTTCCTGTAATACGGTTGCATCGTGAATGCAGCCCCAGATGTTCCTCCACTAAAAAAACGCTGGCTGGTGCAACATCACAAGTAAAGATTATAGCCGAAGCTCCTTGGTGCAGCCAAAGTAAAACTAATTGCAGGTTTCTTTTGGGATTCCAGGTGGGATTTGTGGCTGGGAGCAACGGGCTTCCCCTCCCGGCTCAGTACCTGAACGCCCTGGACAGCGTGCTGATCCCAGTCATACACAGCAGGGGGCGCAAGAGGGGCGACGAGCCCATCGTGATGGAGTTCATCTTTTACATCCTGGAGAACATCACTTAAGAGAGACACTCTCACTCCACTAATTTCATCTCTTCAAACCCCCGACCACAACTCCGTCCCTGGCACTTCTCATCACTGCTGCCGACGGTTTCAGGGCAATAAGAGCATTGGAAAGAGGACGAACCGCACCACATCCAGGGTCTGCATTCATCTCATCTCCTCACCAGTAGAGAGAAGTGCTCAGTGGTTTTTTTTTCCTCATCTCACCCTGCAGCAGACAATCTGGGTACGCATGAAGCCTGGGATGGGCCATCAGATCACTGTACATTGTACAGCAGTAGCAACTTCATCGCTTGATATCGTCCAGGTCGTAATGTCCAATGCCGCCCCCCCCCCGGGTGGAGGATTCCTTTAGCCCCACAGTGTGAAAGCAAAGAGAAAAGGACTTAGTGAACAGTAAATCTGCAGCAATCTAATGCACAGAGCGAATGCCTAGAGGATGTTTTCATACCAGTTGTATTTTACCTGATTGCTCATGAAATGTAATGTTGGCCTGGAATTAAACTTGCAACAGTTACTGTGACTATCAGTTCATTACGAACACATTCACTTAACTTGCAGTTCACTTCTACGTCACATATTGGAATCTTGCCCTCATTTTTCTCCACTACACTAGATTAGTTCAAACTACTATGTGGCAGATGAAGAGGGCACATGTCACAAATGCGCTCTTTCACTTTGATAAGTCAGTCTACAGAGAAAAAAAAAAGTTCAGTTTGGATTGAGACGATTATAAATTACATTTAACTGTAGAATATAATCAAATAATTAGGTTTTTTGAATCAACTTGTTAGGAGGGTTAGTTTACAGCTGTTACAAGTTGCAATTGAGGAATAGCTGCCTGAAACAAAGGGACTATTTAACTGGATCTGTGGCTTATTCAGCTCGCATTCATGTTCAAGCTGAATGGACCTAAATAACTCAATTTCAATGAGCGCTAATATGATGGCATTTGTGAACCTGATGAACCCGTGCGTGGTCGGTGGCGATGGGAGGAGATCCGGTCCGCAGGATACTTGTTTTCTCTCTGCCCCGTAACAATGATTTTCTTTTTTTCCCCCCCTAACAAGGCAGAATGGAGCTCTTGTTGGACCTCCTACTGGCTCCACATACTTGAGATGGCCGAGACAAGAGGCTTCAGCTCGCAACACAAATACTTTTCTTTGTTGAAACACAGCTAGTCTTCACAACTCAAATGTTTCAGCACACACACACACACACACACACACACACACACACAGCACTTTTACTGCGGTCGAAAATACCGCCACATGAAAAACGTAAGATAATTAAAAATAAAATTTATTGGCATTTAATTTTAAATACACAATATAACAAAATTTTGAAAGTCTAAACCAATACACATTAGTTATTTTGTTTGATGTAAAACTATAAGTTTGATAGAAACTGTACAGTTATCTGTCATCGGGGGGGAGGTCAGTGCGATGTGGGGGTCAGAAGTAGTGAAGGCATGTGGGGTGAATACCAGTGTGACGCTGAACCAGGAGCCCGTTGCAACATCAGTGAAGATAATATTTTGGTCAAAAACATCTTCTCTTCATACAATTGGTTCCCCAACTCGAGCTCGACAAACAAACAAACAAAGCAAAAGTTTTGGAGGTCGACTGTGGAAATCATTGACCACGTCATTTCCCCCGAGTCGTGCGATTAAAACTAATAACGGGAAAAGAAACACAAGTCTTTGGAATCCGTAGTAGTTTCAAACGGGTTCATCCCAGCCGCCTCAGGCCTTCTTCATCTTGCTCAGGTGGCTGCCGCTGTTCTCGTGGCGAGCGGCGCCGTTGCTTGCTCCGTGGTCGATGCCGTTGGCGTGGGCGGCCGCGCCGTTCGGGCGCTGCTCGGCTCCCTGTTTTGGCAACCGCTTGCCCTTCACGTAAGCCTGGACCCAGAAGTTGGAGAAGAGCACGAAGAAGAAGGTTCCGTACATCCAGATGAGGTGGATGAGGATGGGGAACTGGTAGTCGCAGCTCTCCATGAAGTAATACTGGGTAGCGTGGAGGGACACCAGGACAAACTGGATCTGTTGGGAAGGAACCAGCCCCTCAGATGGATTTGTCTTAAAGCTCTGGGAGCAGAGGCCTTAAACTAAAAAACAAACCCGGAGAACAAGAAACGACAGAGAAAAGTGCGTCCAGAGTAGAGGGTGTCCCTACCAGCTGAATGGCAGTCATGTATTTCTTCCACCACAAGAACTTCTGGAAGCGCGGTCCAGCAGCAGAAAGGCCGTAGTAGAAATACATGATGATGTGGACGGTGGAATTCACCATGGCGTGGAAAGATCCCATTCCACCTGGGGGCAAGAATCACACAAGCTGCATGAAGCCAAGTAGCACGAGAATCAGAGTACAGTTACATTCTTGATCCGACAGGTCGGAGGCTCTTAAGTTAATCATCTTCTCATGACTAAACAGTCATAAATAAATCAAGCCGGCACAGGGTTGAGAAAAAATAAGAGCAGAAGCCAAGTGGAGGAAAGCGTTGCTGATTGCAGAGGTCAACATCCACAACGTTGGTTTACGGGCACAATTTCAATGACAATAAAAGCCGCCGCGCTGTCATTGCTCAGCTGTTAATAATCTTCAAACCATTTGGCAATTCAAGTCATCGTTAACGTGTGCTCACCGGGAGCGTGGACGATTCCCCACCACCAGGTCCAGGGCATGAAGGAGTGGTGGAAGATGTGAAGGAAGGTGACCTGGCCGTGCCTTTTCCTCAACACGAAGAAGACCTGAACAAAAGAGGCTGTCGATCAGGTCGAAGCCGAACTACGGCGACCAAAGGTGAGTCGGGTAGAAAGGCTGAACCCACCGTGTCGATGAGCTCAATGATCTTGGAGAACCAGAACAGCCAGGCCACTCGGACCATCTGGTGAGGGAGGAGAACCCTTGATGTGAAATGATCCTTCCACATCATGGGAAACCAAGTGGTGCATAATGATCACAAGAGGGGGACTTACTCGAAGTGCTTGAGGACTGTTGGACGTATCGACCGGGTCACATCGCCAGGTATATGTTGTGGCCCAACCAGACATCAGGAACTAGAATATCAGAAATACACAAATAAACATTTATGTGAAATGTTACAATGTGTAAAAAAAAAAGGGATCTTTAAACGTTGGAGACTTGAATTAACAACGTTTTACTTCGTAGACGATGATTATCGAAAGTGCCACTAGCGAGAAGTTGTAGACTATCATGGCTTCCTTCAGCTGGAAGGGCTTCCGATGGGCCATTGTGCGCGGCCCAAGGTACAGTACAAAGAAGAGGTAACACAGCAATATTGCGGACATGGGAATAGGAGTCTGCATCATTGGATATTCCTTCAGCCGAGGATCTAGGAAATAAAAAAAAACCCCGTCAGAAAACAAAAGCATAGAGCGATCTATTGAATTCAGTTTAAACCTACCAATTCCTGCCAAGAGGTAGTTGTAGATGTCCATGGCGTGCGAGCCAATCTCCTGAACCTTCTGAAGCATGTTTGCCATCTTGAATTATTGTGACCAAATTATCTGGAGAAAAAACAACAACAACGAGGTCAGTTAATTTCATCTGGCCAATGCCTCAAAGATCGTATTTTGGCCTTTTTTTGTTTTTTAATGACCAAAGAGTAAAATTGGGAGCACATCTCAGACACGTCCTCTCAATCCAGATGTAGTGTGAGACCCAGCAGCTCTTCTCTCGTCGGACAAAAAAAGCAAAACACACCCAACCAAAATGCCAGGATGCTCATCCAACATGTGCTACAAGGAACTGGGAGGACGTCACATCACACAGCAGGGCGGCACTCTGCTGGCTTTTGTGTCTTCACCTCATGACTCCTCAAATGAACCCGACTGGGAACAAAAACCGGAAAGCTCAACACAGTAAAAAACACAAACCGCTGAGCCCTCCCACCGGCATCAAAGTCTTTTTCTTGACGTGTAGAAAAACGTTTTTATCAAACGGACCCTGCAGAAGACGTCGCTGTGGTTTATCGGACCTGTAAATGTTCCTGTTGACAGAAGGTCTGCCGTGTGGGGTGCAAAGTGTATTCCCAAAGTAGAGGACCAGCGGGGCGCGGCATTCTCTTCCCACGCTATTGTTGTACAATCTTTTCACTGCCTGAGGCGTAAAGAACGGCCCGACCCGCCTTAAGCCAATATCGTTACCAGGCGGTTATTTCAAGGCAGGTGAGAAGTGACGCACAAAGAAAGGAAGGAGATATTTTTAGGAGCAAACAACAGATATGCGACATGGAGCTGGATGCAAGTTTAAGGCGGTTTAGTTGCTTTCAGTGTACAATTTTTAAGTTCCGTTTTGTTATCACAGGGTGTCAAACTGGCTCTGCAATCGGTACTTTGTATCTGCTACTTGTGTTCTAGGCCACACGTTATCTGACGACATCAAGAACAAACTTGCAGTGACATCGAGAAAGAAAAAAAAAAGTAAACTCGAAAGCATATTTGTACAAATAATACCGCCGTTGGGGTGCTTGGGTTCACATTTTGTGCATTCATTGTGTCAAAGTCAAAGGTGATTCTGAACAGTGCACAGCTACAGTGTGAACAGATTACATCATCTTCCTTCTCCGAATTTCCCCCGTGCAGTTTTTTTTACAGCGCTAACCACGTAGCAACGGCGTCAGCGCCGTATCCGTCGGGCGGATCTCCCGCCTGAAGCCTCCAGGTGATCGAGTTCAGCATCCCAGAACAATCTGTGACGGCTGCGCGGCTGACCGAGCTTCCCTGCGTCACAAAAAGGTGACGACTTTAACTGCGGCCCTGTGGTCTCGCACGGCCCCTGCGCGCCATCACCGGGAGGTGGAAATGAGGGTGTCGTTTTTGGTGCAGCAGACCAGATACATGACTTGACAAGTTCAGGAAACTCTTACGCAAAACGCGGCGGTTGTTTTTGAGGTTTTCTGTCGGGCGCCTCGCATTTCAACACGAGCGCCATCACACCCGTCTGATGGGGAGAGAGACTGTCTTGTTCTGAGGGAAGATGCTGAAGAGTTACATGGCGTAGAAGGTTATTTATTAAAAGCCACTTTATGAATTAGATCCCTGTGGGATTATTATTATTATTGGTTATGAATCTCCCAGTTTTGGTGTTCAAAGCGCAACATGTGACTGACTTGAGAGGGAAGGTTTAAGGGAATACAGACCATGATAAAACTGAGTGTGCGAGTCAGGAGGACAGTCTTGTGATCATGCATGCTCGGAGGGAAAAAGGGGAAAAAAAGTCTGTATTTTTTAAAGTTCTAGGTGAAGAAATGGAAAAGGAAGTTTCACCATCAGCCGGCAGAGACCGCTTCACAAGCAACAACAAACGGCACTTCTTCTTCTATCCCATTAGCTCAGACCTCAAACCTCATGGGATCAGCGAACTGATTTCAATCTCCAGCAAGTAAAAAGGCGGAGCGCCGCTCAGCCAGCAGTACTTCCACGCGGGGAACATGCGCATACGTGTGGGAGGGTTCCGCACCCCGCCGCCGCCGCTTCATTCCCTCGAGGGAGCGAAGCCACGGAGCTGCAGACACGTGACCGCACTCCCTCGAGGGAACGACTTCTGTCACTCGAGAGGAATGTCAGAAATGCACAGCCCCGAGCTACTCCAGTTTAGCGTTTTACAATCATTTGAAAAAAGAAGAGAAAAAAACAGCTACTCCGGTACGTCCCCTTTAGGTCACTCTTAGACTTCCTTGTCAGCGCCGTGGCCGGCTTACATCTACCAAAAGGGAGCTATAGAAGAGTGTGGGGGGGGGGGGGAAACATTTACTGTGAGAAGGTCAATGAATCACTGGGATGGAAAAAGGTTCACCCTCACGAGTTGGAAGTTAATGATGAACCAAAACTAAAAAAGGAGCAAAGTATCTGCTATGAAACTGGAGCCCCATTTCCTCAAAAACGGCCCCCGAGGCGCTCGACGCGGGAGCCCGTCCTGTGTAAACATGTGCAACTTCCCCTCCTTGAGACCGGAGTCACTTTCCACCCCTAAATCATCAAAAGCCAGAGTGGATTCTTGCTTTGGGAGGACGGCAAAGCGATACGGGAAAAGAGCAGAGAGAGACAGAGAGAGAGGGAGGGAGACAGAGGGAGGGAGAGAGCGAGTACTGTAAACGGAGTGTGACTGGTACAGCGGTCTTCCGATTCCCCACCCTCCCTGACTCACACGGTGGATGAATAACCAGCTCACAGAAGGAGCGAGCGGTGGGGACGGAGCGCGGCCAGGGGGCGGGCGGGGGTGGAGAGGGGGGAGGTGGCGGTGGGGAAGATTGAGATGGGGCCCCCCTATTTAAACCACCGGCCCTGATTTTAAGATCACTACTCTGTGACCACCGCCCTGAATTCAACAAGGCAGAGACGGCCCCTCCCACCGTCTTCTCTCCTGTGGCCCTGAAGAAGGAAAACACACACACACACACACGACTCCCGAGTCCCCTGTACGTTTTCGGGTGGGCTGGTAATATTATTCACGCAGGCGAGAAATCAGAGGACACTTTGTTCTCGTGAAGGGGCCCATTGTTGGGCCCCCGGCATCGGGCTCTCGAACCCGGACGAATATTTGGCCACGTGTTCGCTCCGCACGGAACCTCAGTAGAACACGGAGGAGAAAGAGTCGCTGAATGCATCGGGAGCCGGGGAGCTTAAACATAACGGCAGAGCAGAAGGATCGCTGCGAGGGGGGGGGGCGCGTGTTATTGTGGTGATTACATTTCATGCCAAGAAATTTGCTTTTGTCCTTCGGCCGCAGATCACTAGATACTAGAACATATCGGAAACAGTTATCAGGTCTGATGAAGTCTAAGCGGTTTCAGAGGTCAAGTCCTACATAATCGATGATCTGCTGACTTTGCTGACGAGTTCAAGGTCTCGGGTCAAATGATGTAACAGGAGAAAAAAGTTCCTTGTCAATAAATGATCTGAAAGGAAGATAAAGCTGATGGCATATCAGGCATTTTTCAACAAATTACATTTGCTTTAGATGTCGGACGGCCGTCACGAAAAAGACGGAGGAGGAAGAAAGACGTCCCAGACACGCTGAGGTCACGGGTGCGTTCCCATGACAACAGCCAAAATTAAAGGACAGACGAGAGATAAATGTGCAAGATACGCGTTGCTGGCCTGCGGTAAATGTGTAGAACTCGTGTGCAGGGAAATGTTTGCGTGTTGCCCGGAAACAGTCGAGCTGCAGAACTATTTATGTTGGTGGCGCAAAATAAATGATTGAATTACACAAACCCAAGTGGGTTGTTATTACTGTGGAGTAATAATTGTTGGTTACAGAAGCAAAGACGCAATGCTTATTGTTGGGTGGTCCTGAAACGTCCTACAAGCGTAAATCCTCCTGTCATCCAAATAAAAATATTTATTTTTATAGAGGAGTTTGGTAAACTGGTTGCTATATAATGTGGACGCCATTATTAGACAGGGCAAAAGGTAAGTTAGGGGAAAAAGAGATGAGGACTAGGAGAGAGAGAGAAATTAGAGGTACAGGAGGAGGAGGAAGAGGAGGGGCAGCCATTGTGAAACATAATCAGACATATTCAACTGAACACTTGTTCAGTGTGTCCGAAGCTCTTCTCCTGTCAGCAGAACCGCTAAATAAAACTCCAACACGTCAGCTGATATAAGATATAGGGATATACTTTTGGTCTTCTACAGGATCTACAGGTTTAAGTGAAGTTGTTTTCAAGTAAAAACATCTGGTGTGACTTTCATATTATTTTACAAACTGTAATAAATGATCACAAATGAGATTTTCTGTAAAAATCTTCTCTCTGCTCTTCAGTAACTACATTTAAGCTTGTTTAATAAATAAAATGTATAACAGACACAGGAATACCGTATTGGATTGAAGCCTTTTTGACATCACGTGTGTGTGGGGAGCAGTATCACACCTGTGAGTGCACAGACGTGGCCTGTTGCTAAACACCGGGTTAATTCTCCCTCTGCCCCCCTCCCTCCCTGAGCCCTCTGCAGGCCTCGACGACTCGGGTGTCAGGAATAATCCACAACAACAATGGAGCCTCCGTGGGTCTCTTCGTCTCTTTTTTTCGAAAGGTGAAACTAATGAGAAAATATCCTCATTAGCGCATAAATCCTTATTTAGCTGCGGCCAAAAACGTGTTTTGCGAGGACCAGCACATTCTGTTCAGTTAGCCTGAGGTCCAGGCTGAACTCTGACCCAGATTTGAAGAAAATTGCCCCTCAGTTGTTCCTGAGAGATATTCAGGAGAACCTGGAACACACGGTGCCTCCGGCTGCAGCCGTCAGCGGCACCGAGCGGCAGCTCAGCAGGTGCAGCAGACGTGAGTCAGCACATCGAGTCAGCACGTCGCACCCCAGTGAGGAGCAAAGGTGCAGCAACCAGTTCGATTCAATGTTGCAAAGAATAATGCAAAGGAGCGGTTATAGCCGAGGAATCAATCTGTCTGCTTAGGCCACGCATTCAGGGCAATTTTGAATTGTACCAACGCAGGTGTTGTCCATCACTTCCCTTCATTTAGTGAAAAATTGTACTCAAAATACTGAGATTGAGAATATGGAGATCAATAAACTCAAACAAGGCAAAGAAATGTATCTTTGGGTACAAGCAATCAGCTAATATAAAGCATTTAAGTGGGAAAAAGTACCCTTAACTATACATAAGCTGGCGGCACTTAGTATCCGGGTAGTTTAGTAATGTGAGAGGATGCTTAAGCAGGATTTACATAGGAGGGCCATTACGCCTCCGCCACGCCTCTAACAACCTACACATACAATCTGCCATTATACTTCACAACATCGCCGGTGCAAAAACTCCATTTCCCCGCCATTGGAAGGCGTTCCTCGCTCACACCAGGTGTGTCACTGGATGCAAAAACCAGTCGGCGAAAAAAAACAGCCACCACACGTCCTAAGAGAGACTCGTAGAAGGGTCGGGGATTAGACTTTGTGGGGAGGGAAACGTGCACCACGTACTACCTGGCAAAGCCATTCACCGACATAAAAGAAACGTGGTTTCAAGAGAAACATTTTCGCTGGCTGTAAAGTGTTGACTCAAGAAGATTATACACTATAACAGCAGGCAGCGGTTGAGCGATAACCGCCCCCCCCCCCGGCATGCCGCCGCGGTGTTTACGTTACCTGCACGGTCCACCTGGGCTCTCTGACCTTGGGCCACAGCTAATGTTGACATGTCTACACACAGCCAGTGATCCACAACCTTCCTTAGGACACCATCAATAAGGGCCCTGGGAACACGGGGCCTTCAAGAAACAGGTGCCAGGTGCATTGTGGGATATGCGTGTGTCAACCTAATCCCGTCCTACGAGGTTCAAAGCACTGTCATTTCCTCTGGAGCAAATTCACAGGTAACATTTTGCTTTGTTGTGTGAATAAAACCCCACAATTTCACCCTCAGTGTAGTTTCCCCAGCATGCATTGCAGGGACGAGGTCGTGCTTCTGTCTTTCTCCCGCATCGGCAAAATTAAACGAGAGTCGAGCGTGACCAATGCTGTCGCAGCAATCAAGGACGGCCGATAAAAGTACCAGAGTTATTAAACATTATCATACAACGCCAATATTTACTCACGCATTCAGAATCACTCGGTCCAAAGTTCAACTCCTCCCCTTCCTGTCGCTATGTATGTAAATATGTATCATTTGATAAGTAGCTTGAGCTCTGCGGGGATGATGGTTCCATCACCTCTGACCCAGGATAACCACATTAACAGGCCGGCCCGGTAAATACACAAAACTCTGCCACCGAGTGAAGTAAAATGTCACAAGGAGCGTGAAATAGATGAGGTGTTACACAGGAATGCAGCTGGACCGTTAGAAGCGGAACAGTTGGAGCATCGGGCCTGCAGGTGGGTTCTGCTACACCTCTGATGGAGAAAGGTGAATGTCAATGAGTTCTTTGTCCGCAGCACAGCAGCCAAATGACGAGAAACAATAAATGCTGCAACACAAACTCAAGTTCATGTTGAAATTAAATCTGCTTTAAAATAAATAAATATGGATTTGCACTTACAGAAAGTGTGTTTAAGTTTAAGGCCCTGAGCAGTTCTGCACAAGAGGAGAAAAACACAAAATAAAAGACACCTGAATGAGAAACACTTTGATGTGACGTTACGGAAATTAGAAGCGAGCGCGAACCATCACCCCCCCCCCCCCTCCACAAAAAAAGGGAAATTGTACTTAATTTGTATTTACACAGCTGAAGTTAACTAAAGCCTCGTCGAGTCAAAACGTTGCAGAAAGTAACGTTACTCACGTGAAATAAAGGCGGAGGGAAAGTGTCGAAAGCAGCGTGGGCGCCAGAGAGAAGTCAGAGCCGCTTCCTCTTCCTCTCCGCGGAAACCTTCCTCACGACAAGAGACCGCTCGGCGTCAGCTGGAATACAAAAAGGTGGAGTGATCTCTCTCTCTCTCTCCTTTTCTCTCTCTTTCTCTCCCTCCCTCTCTCTCCTTCTGTGTCTCTGCACCGCCACGAGTTGGGCTCCCAGTATGGTGTCGATTGTCGACGACTCGGCGGGTGATTGGGCTCCTCTTGTGGTGGGAGGGGACCTGTCTAAACTCTGGAACAGGCTACACTATATCTATATATATATATGTTGAAAGTAAGCAATGTGCTGCAAGGCATCTAGAATTTTTTTTTATTGTTGTGTTGTTGTGAAATCTTGATTATTCTGACCCGCAGTGACGAACAAAGGTCACCTGAGCTACACCTGCCTCAATCTTTATTCTCTTTTAACAGCTTTAATCTTCAGGCTTCAGGCAGCAGGATGATGAGGCAGCATTATTTATACAACCCTGTTATTCAGCTGATATATAATACTGTATATATATATATATATATATATATATATATAATACTATATATAATAATATATATATATCATCAAAATATATATTTATATATGGATATCTTTAAAAATCAAAATAGCCATCAACCTATTCTGACAGAAAGAATACTATTAATTTCAATCAGCCCGTATTCAATGAGTCTCCATTCAATGCTTGTTACTGGAGTAAACTGCTGGCTTAACAACTGTGAGTACTTAAATAGTGGGTTTTTTTTAAGTTACCTTCATGGTGGTAGTTTGGGGGGAAAGTGGCTTTGGGGGGAACCAACTACAGCTCCGGCGGCCTTGAGCTTCATATAAGAGATGGCAACACTGGGCTTGGACTTTTCGAAGTCTCGAGGTCTCGTTCACGCGTGAGGGATCTACTCGTCCATTCACGTTTGGAACCTCACCAAAGACAAGAGGATAAGATCGCAGATGCAGGCGGCCGTGATGCGCTCCCTTCATAATGGCGCTGGGCTCAGCACCACAAAGAGTCCGTCTACAAATTGGCGCCCTTCGCACGTGGCATTGCAATATCAGCACTTCAAGTCCCTTTGGATAAATACAGTTTAATTCAATCTTGTCAGCAGTGACGAACAAAGGTCACCTGAGCTACACCTGCCTCAATCTTTATTCTCTTTTAACAGCTTTAATCTTCAGGCAGCAGGATGATGAGGCAGCATTATTTATACAACCCTGTTATTCAGTTGATGAATAACTTAATCTAAAGATCACCCTAAGGTAAAACCACATGTAGGTGTTTCTTTATCTCCACTTTGTTTTATTTGCTCGTGATGCTTTCTCCTAAATAATAATGCTTCGTTTAAATATTCAAAGGCACAATATCAGAGAGCTAAATAGTCACAAACTCTATTTTAAACTCTATTCACCTGTGAATTGTTTTTTTTCTCACTCTGAGACTCTACTAAAATCAACTCCCTCCTGATTCATACGCAATTGTTTTCTATTCCTAAAAACTGACAAAACTGAAAGGAAAAACTTTCCACTGTTGAAAAGCAGTGTGGTTTTTGGCGACGCGATGATCGAGACTTTAAGGAAGGTCTGGCTGGTTGCACTTCCTCCTCTGTAACGTCTCTGGTGGATGAAAGTAAGACCGAGGACAAAAGTAGAGCACAGGGCAGCAGAATCGGTCATTCGGTCATTTCCCGCGTACGTCGTCTACTCCTTAGTTGGTAAACGCATTCCTCCGAATAAGAGCATAGTATTTAATTTATAACCCAGGGTTCATTTGTGTTGTGCAGAATATAAACATTTTTTACTCCAAATTAAACAATATTAAACCAGTATTTAAATCCAAACCACCTGCTGCTCTGGTATTCCTCTGATAATAGGTCATTAGAACATGGAGCCACACTCATAGTAACACTCATAGTGACTCCAAGTGGACATGTTGGATCAGTGCAACTTGTGACAACTGCCCACTCAACGTAGAATAAAGGCGGCAATGCTGAATTAAATTAATTAAAAACTCGACAACATATACAGAAGATGTGCATGTTGACATATTCATATATACGGTATATGCACATATTTTTCTTTTTAATTCTGTCCCAATATCAATACGTTACCTGGGCTCTGTGTATCGCCCGACACCTTCAACATTGTTAAACACTATAAACAAATATAACTAGAAATATAGATATAAATCCACTGGGTTGTTATTCACCTTTGAAATAGTACATTGTACAACATCAGACATCCTCAAAGTTAACAAAAATTATACAGCTCAATAAAAAGTTGGAGATGGTTTAAAATTCCAGTATATAATAAAAATGTGGTTCTTTCACTCCCATCACAACGAGTGGACCGCTTCTCCTTCTTTGCAGGTGGGATGACATTACCCAGTAGACAAACAAACACTGTCTTCATTGTAGGTTACCACACATTCACCTTTAGAGACAAAGCGAACAGTCAGGACCGCTGCAAGGAACGCTCAACGCACCCCGAGGGCACTGGGAATTAGTCGGTCTCAGTCAAACATGCCTTGTTTGCTCATGATTTAAAGGCAGTGTCGTTTTTTGAACACTAACTCTTGATCTATTTCAAGTTGGACTTTGAATTCAACGACAATATCTTAAAAAAGGCCAAGAATTTAAATGACATGTTATTGAGAGTTCACAAAAAGAGAAAAGATAAAAGAGCAGCATTGACTGCCAGACATCCAGAAATTTTTGTGGCCTCGTTCGGCTGCGTCCGTCCTATATGTGGCTTGAGAAGAGGGGTTGCTTTCTCAGGACCTTTACCAGAGGGCTGGACTTAGGTGGGACGAGAGGGCCGGCTGCTCTGCCTACAGGATGAGAAGAAAGGAAAGCAATGGAAAACAGGGAGGGCTGAGTGGGGGGTTCAGAAAGCCCTTTTCCAGCCTTTCTACTCTTTCATTTTATAGGTCTTCCACACACACACGCACGCGTGTATCGTCAGCAGAGGACAGAAGGCAAAGTCAGGATGTGACATCATCCACAGGAAGAGAAGCCAAACAACTTTTTTTTTTCTCTCTCTTTAACTGTGTTGACTGTGCTGCTGAGTGAAGTTGGAGCCTCTCGGTCTGTTGGTCGGCCGGCGGAGAGGCAGCGGATCCAGAGGAGCCAGAGGGGGGAGAGAGCGGCTGGATCTGTCCTCCACGGGGGGAGTTTAAAGCCTGAATCCTCCCTGAGCTTCTCACGACTCCCCACCACATTCCTCCGCCACAGAGGACCCAGGTACAGTGCAGGCAACTATTTCTTCTCCCCCCGATTCTGTAATCTCCTGTTTTTCACCCCCCCCGCCCCTCCTCCTTCGTTTCGGGTTACCGTGACCCTTTTTTTTTCTTCATAATTTGTGTGTTGGTTCTTTTGGAGGGCTTTTGCTAGTCTGCAATCTGCCAGAGGCAAACTGCATAAAAAACACCAGAGTGGGCCAACAGTGCGTGATCAGACACGCTTCCCTCCGAGGCTGTTGAAGCTCGCGGGAAGACGTCAAGTGATCAAATACAAAAATTCCCTCTATCCCACATGCGTCCACTTCTTGTGCAACCCCTCCCCGACCACGTATGATATCTGTCTGAAACCGTGAATGCAGAGCTGAATGCTGTGACTGAGAGCCTTCCTCGGAAAAGCCCTTTTGTTGTGGACGCGTTAAGAGCGATCTCATGACCACGTATTCACGCTCCCCCAGTGCAGAGATTCAAGCGGAGGCAGCGGGGGAAGAAACGGTCCCCTTGTCACATACCAACGCCAATGCGTTTTGAACCATCACTGTTGAGTCGACAAAAGCCTATTTTTATGAAATGAGGTTCTATGTCAACAGAGGTTCTCACACAAAGGGCCGGACGAATGCTCGGTCTGTAATTTGAGCACGAGATGATAATGCGGGGACTGAAAAACTTCTGCTTATTGGAGTCGCAGTGAAACGAAACCGCAGGAAACGTTGAGACCGGCAGTTACAAATGGGACACAAATGCGGACATAGGATCACGTTGCAGCCACAGTCACTAGAATGTGACTGCAGTGTCAACACGCGCTGCAGTCTCAGACATCGCTGGATGGAAAAGCACACAATGAGTGTGTCGCTTTGTATCTCTCACAAACTGCTCACCCACCTCGTTTTCCCATAACAACCCAGAGTGTGTAGTTGATATTAAAACGCAGGCATTCTTGTTTTATTACCATAATAGCCGTTAATGGAGGGCACGCTGCTGATCGGTGCGTGCTATCTGCCAGATGGTTAATGGCACCGTATCCATAGGCTGAGATGTTTTATCACGTTGTTTGTGCACGTAACAAACTGGAAAAGGTACCTGGAACTCTCTGCCTGATGCTTAAGCTCTTATAAGTGAAATGGTGAATGTTGTGTGCTCTCTTTTTTGGTAATTTTCTTAAGCGGGTTTCCCTCAATGGGTTGAATTAAAAAAATAAGACAAAAAAGATATAATAATAAAATAATTGTTTGTCGATAATGTAGATAATTAGTTGTTGAACCAGACTTAATGTTTGGCCGTCCAGCTTTGTAGGTATACCTTTTATGTTACCTTCACATTTTTGGTCTTTCCGGCCCAAAGCAGTTGATTGACGGGAAAGTGACCTCTTTTTTTCTTCTTCTTCTTCACAGAAAAATCCCACCATTCGAAATCAAGACGACCTGAAATCTTCAGCGCACAGACGCTGACCCCCTCTGACCTGATTTCCTTGCTGAAACCCGCCTGGTGCCATCTCTCAGGAAAGGTCCCGCTTATTATTCTGGAGAGCTTTTTCCTCCCCTTCTCACGGGGGGAATCGCCTGAGTCGATGGCGTTGTGTCTCGGACAAGTCTTCAGCAAAGACAAAACATTCAGGCCCAGGAAGCGCTTCGAACCGGGCACCCAGCGCTTTGAGCTCTACAAGAAGGCCCAGGCCTCGCTCAAGTCCGGCTTGGACCTGAGGAAAGTGGTCCAGCTGCCCGAGGGGGAGAACATCAACGACTGGATCGCCGTCCACGTCGTGGACTTTTTCAACAGGATCAACCTGATCTACGGCACGGTGAGCGAGTACTGCTCCGAGCGCACTTGCCCCATCATGTCCGGGGGCCTGAGGTACGAGTACAGGTGGCGGGACGGCGACGACTACAAGAGGCCCACCAAGCTGCCCGCTCTCAAGTACATGAACCTGCTGATGGACTGGATTGAGTCGCTCATCAACAATGAGGACATCTTCCCCACCAGAGTAGGTGTGTGAGGAGTCTGCAAGTTAATGAAATGTCCCGTCGTCTCAAACCGGGGGGGGGTAAAGTTCAACCGGGGTTAATTTAACGGCGAGGTTGACATTTAGAGGAGATTGGACAGTGATGGTGGGAGCACGTTTGCCGTTTATTAGAGGGGAGACTCGGGGTCTTTCTCTATGATTCGCCTCTGGGAGATCTGCTTCCTCCTGAGCATCTGTAGACATGCAGACCAGGTGAAATAAGGAACATTTTACCTCTAGGTGTAAGTTGTTGGACCGTAGATTACGGGTTTTAGGTGAGTGTTTCCCTACCTTTTAACTAGTGTGTGCTCAATTTTTCACCGTAAGACAAGAGACAAAGTGGCCTGGTACCGGAACCTTTTGTCTTTGTCTGGCATTACCACGCAGCCTTTAATTAGATAGGACAGCTTTGAGGAATTGTTTTAGTTTTAGATGACACTGTGATTCTTTCATTTCTTTAATTCATTTTCAAACTAACAGGGAACATTTTCTCTCCCTTTTTAGTAAAGACAGCATTTTAAGCCACCACAGGCTTTTATCTGTTCTCTTCGACCCAACTCTTTAACACATTTCGCTGACTGATAGATGCCTCGTACTGCTGAAAAATGGGTTATTATACATTTTCGGGAAAAAGTGCAATAGCGTATATTAGGTAATAGGTCCTATCTTTTCTCCTTTATGTCCACTTTCATCAACCCAGTCTGTCAAAATAGGATGTGTCCATGCAAATCAGATTTCATTCAAACACTCCACTACAAATCTTTACTGCATTTAGTTTTACTGTCCCGGATTTAATCAACTTCTCAGGTGGGATTCTATTCATGTCTGTTTCTCTTTTCTACACACAATAGGTGTACCGTTCCCCAAGAACTTCCAGCAGGTGTGCAAGAAGATCCTGAGCCGCCTCTTCAGGGTGTTTGTGCACGTTTACATCCATCACTTTGACAGCATCTGCAGCATGGGCGCGGAGGCTCACATCAATACCTGCTACAAGCACTACTACTACTTCATCTCTGAGTTCCACCTCATTGACCACTCGGAACTGGAGCCCCTGGTGAGACGATAGCGCGGCCACAGATGCGTGAGCGTGACGACAGGGAGCATGAGAAAGAGGATCAAACGGATGGGGTTTTTCTTTGTTCGGAGGGGTTGTTAACGTCAGCCGTGCAGAAAACATCAGCCGTCCTGCCATCTATAACCTTGATGTGCAGCACGGCTGATGAGGTTGAGTTTTTTGTTGAGGCCAGTGTGTTTTCACAGCTAATGCACAAAAAAAAACTTTAGTCTGAAGTCTTACAGAGTGAAGTTGCTGATTTTGTGCGGCCCTGTAATGTCCTCTGAGAAGCCTGGGCCGGGATATCCCTCAAAAAGTGAAACGGGGTTGAGACATTTATGTCTCGTTTTTATTGTTCCACCTTTAGCACACAGTTGTTTTGTTGTTGATCTCACAGGAATTGTCTTGATCACAATTAGAAATAATTTTCTTCAGGCAGAAAGTGTCGATACAACTTCATAACAATCATTCATCCCCTCGTTTGATTCGGATGTGTTAAATATGCCCTTTGTTTTATTTTTCCCACAGAAAGAGATGACAGAGAAGATATGCAATTAAAGTACACCACAAGGACTAAAGGAGTTTACACTTTGACGTGATCTGAGCCCCGTGAGAAGTCATCACCTCCGAAACACTAAACAAGGAACAATTTTGAATCAAGTTGTACGTGCGGTTTTCTAAGCATAACTGAGAAGGTCCACTAGCCAACCACTTTTCTCCCGATTGTGGAAGTGCCTTCACAGAAGTATTGTCTCATAGTGAGGTGGTGCATAGCTCCATCATTATAGGACTTTGTGTTGATTATAATACATCCTCCTGAAGCTGTTTCTTTCCTCCTGGTCATGCATGTTACATCTTTTTATATACAGTGTTAAGTCGTTGCCGTATGTTTGTATTGCTGTTGATTTGTTGTTGTTTTTTGTTTTTTTTACATTTTGGACATAAATATGCAGTTTAAAAATGCTGTTGAAAATGTGTTTTCTTACCCTGTCAAACCAAAACATTAGTAAAAAATTAGTAATGTTTACATTATTAAAGTCAAAACGTGAAAAGACAACAAGACGAGCAGCTTTTTTAATACACATAATTGCATCAGTTTGGTCTGCTACAGGCCTGTAGTTTCAGGCCAAAAACCAAACAAATGAATGTTTGACCATATGAATAAAGAAAAGGATGTATAATATCATTGATAATACATTTCTGGCATGCGTCGTCAGCCAGAATTAGTCCTATAAGTGACGCTGGGCTGCCAAACCTGTGCATCCCTAAATGAACCGCATCAACATGCACAAGAAAAATCCCCACTACGTGGAGAGGGGAGCGGCGGGGAATCGAATGAAGTGACGTAGGACTGACAGCTATATTGTTGGCCAATGGGAGAAGGGCGTTTGCAAAAAGGGGCGGATACAAACGTCTTTTTAGGTGTTTTCCCGCCCGTCGCGTCACTGGCTGCGCTTTCAGCTAGCAATGGATGCTTACATCAGCTGTGAGAGGCTTTGACAGCGGGGACCTGGCTGGTTTGGACCATTCGGACCCGGAGTCCAGGTTAGACTGGTTTCTTGTATTTATTTATTTTCCCGTTTAACGTGATTTAAATGTTACTTAGAAACATACTAGTCTGAAGTGGCGAATGGATGAATATGGGGAGGGGAAGCTAGCTATGGGTCGTTGCTAGCTAGCTAACGTTAGTATCAACAACAATAACACCCGCTATTGTTCATTCGCCAGTGAAGCCAAACCGCATCTTTCCAAATGAGTGATTGGTCGTTTGGTTGTTGCTTCCTCTTTAAACGTGTTCTTTGAGTTGCGTAGAAACAGTACTAATTTAAAGTAACCGGGTGTAGAAAGTTAACGTTAGTGTTCGCTGTCGGTACACTTGCTATCCGGGTGGTTACGAACACTTTGAGCTGGTAGATGAACACTTCAGTGATAATCAAAGGTTAACGGAACAGAAAGCCGATGCATACGTTACATTTCACTTGTCATGAAGCTAAATGTGACTTATTACCATATGAGATCTCAACCGTTCGTCCACAACCGCGACCAGATGCCAAAGAAAGTTTGACACGAGAGAGTGAAAGAAAGAGGAAACTGTTGACCAATGCACTTTTTCCTTTTTTTTTCCCTGCCCGTGTTCCTTTAAATAGTACATGTGTGTAGCCGCTGATGCAGTTGGTTCCAGACTATCTAACTATTTGCGCTGTGACCTTCCTCTCAGTTGGCAGACATGGTGAGGCACAGCGCGATGACAGAATTGCAAACCTTCCAGCACTCTCTCCAGGTAGGATCTGTTCCCTCCATACTGATGACTATAAATCATTTAACCTGTTGGATACAAACAGGCTGCCATCGAGTTCACAAACTGTCAAGGCCGTCCAAATTCATTTTCAATGAGTCACTAGTGTAAATGCTTCTGGTAATCTCCATTGGGGAGATGAGGCCTGATCTGGTGCTTCCTGCATTCCCACGAGGCCACTGTTTTGGCGGGTTGCCAAAGAGGAAGCAGAGAAAAGCTGTGTTGTAATCCTACTTGAACATCTGTATAATCGCTGTGCGTCGTGTTTTTTGGTTGTCATTTCTCACTTGGAATAAGGTGAGAGAATGAACGTTTTCCCTCCTCGTGCTTTCTGACTCTGGGTGCTCTCGCACTTTCCCCCCCCTCTCTCTCCCCCCCCCTCCCATGCGGCCTCCTTCCGTCACAGGGTGACTCCCTGCCGTTGGGCCAAGCGGGGCAGAGCTGTGGGGGAACTCAGGAGAACGGGGTCACTCCGGAGGGGAGACGGCCCCCCTCCCCGGTCCCAGCAGGTACAAAAGCTACGGAGCTGCCGAAACGCTTCGGGTGAACAGCGGCAACACTCTGGCAAACTCTCAACTGTTTTAACAATTTATTTATTTTTTGCTCGCAACTGGATTCTTTTGTGTTGCCACAGATATCGAGAAAAGCCAGCCAGTGAACATCCCCGATGCAGCGAAAAGAAAAAAGAAGAAGAGAACCAGAGCGACGGACAGCTCCATGGGCACTTTTAATGGTACTTAAGCTGAAATTGTTGCGAGAATTAAAGCTAAAATAAATGACACAAACCTATGCTGCAGGCCCATGATGTCATGCTTTCTTCAGATCTGTACAAGCTGACGGATGAGGTGCTCGGTCAAGGGGCCTACGCTAAAGTTCAAGGGTGCATAAGTTTGCAGAACGGACAGGAGTATGCTGTGAAGGTGAGTAAGGGTGGTTGTAGGTAACAAAGTAAGACTTATGTGCTTTGTTATCTTGTACCGGGTGGACAATCATGCCACACAAATTAATAAGGGTAATATTATATAATAGTTCTTTTTTTTTTTACAAAGATTATAGAAAAGAGTGCGGGGCACAGCCGGAGCAGAGTCTTTCGAGAAGTGGAAACTCTCTACCAGTGTCAAGGAAACAAGTGAGTGTATTTTGTTTTTTAGTTATTTTTAGAACCAAATAAAAAAAATTAAAAAAAGGATGAAATCAATTCTAATTGGTATCTTGACATATTTTCATTCAGCAACATTTTGGAATTGATCCATTTCTTTGAAGACAGCTGCTGCTTTTATTTGGTGTTTGAAAAGCTGCGTGGTGGTAAGTACAAATTTGCAATTAAAGCTAATTATTAGCTTTCTTTCCTCTTTATAAATGGGCAGATTCCCACAACAACTGTCTTCTCTTCCTTCAGGCACCATTCTCACACACATCCAGAACCGGAAGTACTTTGACGAGCTGGAGGCCAGTAAGGTGGTCAGGGACATCGCCCAAGCGCTTGACTTCCTGCACACTAAAGGTAGGACACCTAACACCCGTTCTATGGCAGTCTGTGGATTCCTTATGTACTTTTCCTCATGGAGACTGTGCTGTCTTGCAGGCATTGCCCATCGAGACCTCAAGCTGGAGAACATCCTCTGTGAATACACTGATCGGGTAAAGACAGGAAGCTGAAAGGACATTCGTCTTTCCTTTTCAGGTATAAAGTAAACCGGCATAATGCTTTTCCCTCGTCTTTCATCCTTAGGTGTCCCCAGTGAAGATCTGCGACTTTGACTTGGGGAGTGGAGTGAAGCTCAGCAGTGCCTGTACGCCCATAACGACCCCGGAGCTCACCACGCCGGTAACTATCTGCTTTTGAATTCAGAGCACACACACGCACACACACACACCCAATAGAAAAAAAGGTTACGTGACCCCACCCTCCCCGTGTGATTTTATTCCTCTCAGTGTGGCTCAGCAGAGTATATGGCTCCAGAAGTAGTCGAGGTGTTCACTGACGAGGCCTCTTTCTACGACAAACGCTGTGACCTTTGGAGTCTCGGGGTCATCCTCTACATCCTACTGAGCGGAAGCCCCCCGTTCACAGGCCGCTGTGGCACCGACTGTGGCTGGGACCGCGGAGAAACCTGCAGGACCTGCCAGGTACCAGGCACCTGTCACTCTGTGCGCGACGGCCGAACACCTTTACACGGAAGTTGACGTTGTGTCGATTCTCTCTGCAGACTCACCTGTTCGAGAGCATCCAGCAGGGCAAGTACGAATTCCCAGACAAGGACTGGGATCACATCACCGAGGGGGCCAAGGATCTCATCTCCAAGCTGCTGGTTCGGGACGCAACCCTTCGCCTCAGTGCTGCTCGGGTCCTCAAGCACCCTTGGGTGCAAGGGGTGGGTGTGGATGCATCTACTCCTACATCCCGCGCGCAGGGCCGCTGGTAAACCCATCTAATGCTCCTCTTGTTTCTACAGAACGCCCCAGAGAGAGGTCTTCCCACTCCTCATGTTCTACAGAGGTAGGACGTATAAGAAAGTCACCGTGAATGTAGTCATGACGTTCAGACGGTGTATCGAGCTACACTGTAGTCATCTGAAGCGCAACTCGTCTTTCATATCCTCTCTCTCTCTCTCTCTCTCTCTCCCCACTTTCAGGAACAGCAGCACCAAAGACCTGAGCCAGTTCGCAGCCGACGCCATCGCCTTCAACCGGCAGCTGTCTCAGCACGACGAGCAGCGGGAGGACGTGGGGGCCGTCGTTTGCCCCGTGAGGCTTTCCCCTCCTTCCAACTCCAGACTGGCCCGCCGGCGGGCGCAGACCAACGCGCTGCGCAGCAGTGACTTCGCCCCCGCGTCCGACGACCTCACGGCCTGACAAGTCTCCTCGATGGGAGGGGGTCGGGGGGGGGCGGGGTCTGATTGATTTCTTTTTAGCCTCCGCCTGCTCCGGGCGGGTGTTGGTTTTCTTCTTTTCTATCAGCAGCGGGCTGTTAGGATCAGCCGCACAGTGGCCGGTCCTGGTGCTGAAGCTCTCTCCCGTGGCCAGTAACCTTCTCACCCGGACAGTCATTAGTCGGCTCCCGCTTCTTTTAATGTAACGACTGTTTAGTTTTTAGAAAAGCTCTTGGTTTACTGTTATAAAGAGTCTTAACAGAGATATTTATTTTGTATTTAATGATGATTTATTTTGACAGAAACCACTCTTAATGCCTCGATCAGTACATATCAATATCAGCGGCGCAGTACATTGGTTCAGCACAGTTTTGCCACTGTTCCTGTTCTAATGAATTATTATCTAATATTGATGGATTTATTTTTCTTGTTGTCCAACTGTGAAGGAATTAATATTTTATGTAAATGCTGCTTATTGCTTCTCTGCTTCGGGTGGAAAGGGATGTGTGTTTGCTTACTGAAGCACGTCCGTCTGATCTGTGTGGATGTGTTGAAATGATCAAGTCTGACTACACTAAGAGGAGACTGTTACTGCGAATACGCTTTTTCAAAAATGACATTCCTGTTCAGGCTATGAAGAACGTTATAGATTGTGAATGGATGTTGAGAAGAGCCTTTGATCAAACAATATCAGTTCTAGCTTTCACTTCAACCCAGGCTACCTGAAGCACTGATGTACTTTAAGACAAGTGGCTGATTCATTGTATCTAAGACGTATTGTAACTGCGTTTGGGCCTTCTATGTCAAATCAGCACCTACAGGGATATTTTAACTTTTTAAGGGGTTTTAACTCCTCCGATGTTACAGCTAGCTCTTTTGGCATGTTTTGTGTCCTCCCGGTTAAACTAAACATCCCAAAACACTTTATTATTGATTGGATATCTGTTGTTGTTTTTTAATTTTTTTTTATTCTGGGTGCATTTAAATGTGAGATTTGCATTTTTTTGGTTCTTTGTAGCTATTGAGACTTTAAAAGGGGTTTATTAAGAGTTGATGTTATACTTTGTAGTCAAACAGCAGAATCCATTCTGCTTCTTAAGAGATTTTTATATTTTATATATTGTTTGATTTTGACGATTTAAGTTGGTTTCATAATTGTTTTTAGACTAGAAGCTCTTATTTGTTTGACCAGCGGACACCAGTCGCAGGCCATCATCTTCATTTCCCTGATCACTCCATTGACGACCGATAAACGACACGTCCCCCTGATTTCACACTGTTGCCATGGACACCACATCCCCATAGCAACACTGGCCCATCACAGGCTGGCAGGAAATTGACAGGGATTTACTCTGAGCAACAACAAAAAAAAACCATTAGGGGACAACGGCTTGCTTTCTCGCCGTCTCACTGCTATTATGAATCATAAATGGACTTTTAATATAATCTCCTCAAAAGAAGATTCAGTAACAGGCGTGAAACTATGGAGTGCCATTTACATTAGTCATATCTCTTACAAGGGTCCTATGCATAACGTTCTCAGTACGGAGTACATGTTCTCTGGTAAGCTGTGTTCTCAATAATAAAAAAAAAAAAAAGTCAACATATTTGCCGGTGTAATTTGTGTCACATTAATTTGTCTGCTTCTACATTGAATGCAGTTTCTCATTGCGGTGTGTTGTGTCTTGAGTGCATGTGGTGAAAAGCTTCCCTTGAGTGAGAAACCTTCGCTCACTGAAGCCGTGTCCGTGTTAAGAGGAGAAGTCTCCGGGTAACAACAGAAATGTACCTTTCCATTATTTAAAGCAACATAAAAGCTGTAGTAACACGTGACGCCACCCACTGGGTGCATCTGAGTATCTATGGACTTCTCAGCGATTTATTTCGTGAAAACAATTACTCACTTTATTGCCAAAGATCTGATTGGAGGGTTTGATTCCGATCCCTATAGTGCCCCCGGTGGTCCTTGTTTATTATAACACGTGTGTGTGTGTGTGTGTGCGGGAGAGTCTGCTCACTCTGCTGCTCACCTGCAGCCGCGAGACATCTTCTCCAGCTCGGCTGCTCCTGCATCAGATGGACGGACAGCAGAGGGGGAACCATTGATGAGCTTTATGGGTCTGACTGACGGTAGGTGACTGAGAAACAACGTGTTGCAACAATGTTGCTGTATGTTTCCAGCTTTTCTTCTTGTTGCAAGTTGTCATGTGAACATCGGTGAGGAAATGTTTTTAAAAAGCTCTTGCCCCGTCTGTTACATGTCTTGAGTCATTTATTTCTATTCTCAGTAGCTGTAATTTGTCTCTTAGTAAAATTAATGGACATTTATTTTGCAGCATTGTAGGAATTCAAAATCGGAGGAACCTTAAACATGAAGCGTTGTAAAAGCTGCAGCCTCTTAAACTAGTCTTAGTATCATCGTCCCAGCGAGCTGCACACGTTTGCTCTCCATCATCATCATCGTCATCATCATAGTCACGCCCCCCCTCTGTTGGATGAGTTCAGTGACGAGTCATTCTTCAGCTTCTCTGGGTTTCCACAGAGCTCTCCGTGAGACATGGCGCTACCTGAAAACTCCCCCGGGCCCTCTGCCCCCATGAAGGCCCCCGGGGGCGCGCCCCGCTGCGCCACAGCGTGCCCTCCCCGGCCCTGTGCTGCGCCTGCGGCCTGTGCATCCTGCTGGCCGGCATTAACATCACCCTTGGTGGGAGCCTTCGCCTACGGCACCGTGGTCCCCGCCGGCAACCCGCCGATCGTCGTCGGGCCCCTCCTCCTGCTGGTGGCCCTTGGCTTCTTCGCGGCGTGCTGCGCGGTCAGCAGGAGGCCCCCGGCCCGCAGGCCCGACGGAGGCGAGAAGTGGGGGCTGATGCGGGTGGGCGGGGCGGCGTTCGAGATGGAGACCAGCGACCACATGCTGCAGGACACCACGGCGGTCCAGCTCAGCCCCGCCAACTCCCCCGCCTCCTCCCGCGGGTCCAGCTCCAACCGCGGGGGCGACCCCCAACCCGCCGCTCCGCCCGCCGCCGGGGCGCTGCACATGTCGGAGATGTCCGCAATCAGCACCACCTTGACCTCTGACCTCAAGGAGAGCCGTCCCGCGGAGACGCTACCTGCTCAGGACACGCCCTGCCCGTAACGTGGACGTCTTCGTGCCGCTGGATGCAGACGTCCGGTGTGAGTCACAGCTGTTTAAAAAAAAAAGAAGACTACTACTAATAAAACCTGTGATTGCAGCTTATTCTGTGTCGTTGTGCCGTTGAATGTGTGTTTGTGCAAAACACAAGAAGAGAAGACGGTACTTTAATCCAGTCGCCTGTTTGTGTACTTGTACGTGTATGGAGGCCGATAATCCTGCACTCACGCTGTGGATCGACCCCAGTTGGCGCCGAGCTCCTCTGAGTCATGAGAGCTGCTCCCGTGCAGACCTGCTCGCCCACTATTCTTTTTCCACACGCTTGAGTTTTGTTTTTAAAAATCAGCTGCGGAAAGGGTCAGAGGTCAGAGCGACCTGTGTCATGCCAAGATGGATATTCAGTGAACGTGTTTTGTCATGTTGCTGCTTCAGATGTTCCATGCGTGATTGTGGCAACTATACGTTTTATAAATAAAACTGTAAGGTCATAAATGCCATTTACTCAAAGTGTCTCTTTCTGAAAACTGTGTTAATGAGTAAGAAAGGTGAAGACGAGTCCTTCGATCCGTGATCCGAGGAAGGCCAGCCGCTGACACGTCGCCCCTCACTTGGCGTCTGACCCAACAGCTGCTGAGGAGGCGAGAGGTCCGCGTCCACAAACAGAGCCGGGCACAGCGCGTGATCCCTGCACACGACTCAGCAGCCACAGCGTGTTGTTGCCTGGTGAATCAGAAATACGACCCGGGGGAAGGAGGGGGGGGGGGGGGTGACATGTCTGGGCAACCTGAAGTCATTTCAGTAAACAATCAATGAGGTCACGTTGAACTGAAGGATGGCGGATGGAAAATCGATGTCGTGCAGGTTCATGTAACTGGGCCCCCCCCCCTCCCCCCCCAGGCGTCGTTACATTTTTTATTATTTACTTTTATTAGTTTGAATTTTGCTTAATGACATCACGAATGACACATGGTGTTCAAACTGTGATTGTCATCTCTGATAACCGGTAACACCTTTGGTTGCTTTCAAGAAGAGAAAAGCTTCCTGTTAATGAGGAATATCTTGACATTTGAAAACGGCATAAAACCAGAGTGTAATATTTCATTGTGGTTCTTGTCAAATGGGAGAGTCGGCGATGTCGGCGTGCTGAGCCGGGTCATGAGCGAGGACCAGAGACCCTCTCCAGCGCCATCTTCAGATCACTGGGGTCACCGGGGTCGTCGCAGTAGAAGGATTTCCACGGAGGGCTTCTGGGCCCTCGGTTTGGCGCCCGGGTAAAACATTTACAAGTGGCTGACAACAATATAAGACGAACGAAGCAGCTCTCTCCACCACCACGGAGTCTCACAGGCGTCTCTCTTTTGTTCCTCACATCGATCAACAAACATTACCACATAATTGTAAAGTGCATGAAATAGCTGTAATTTGCGCTCATTTAAATGTAACAATTTGTGATTTTAATAGTAAGTGTGAGGCTGAGGACTGAGATCGTTACTTTTGTGGATATTTATGCCATTACTGCCATGAGCGTACAATGAACTGGAATCAGAGTTAAAATTTGGAAAAAAAACTGAATTCATCTCCACTGACAGAAGGTCGTGTTACTCCTGTTAGACCACAATGTTTAGTCACATATCAGATATTATTCATCCTGCAGCCTGCAGGTGCTTCAAAAATAACTCTGACAACATGAGCGTCTTAAAAAATGTTACTAGGTCTCCTCTTTTTTCCTCTTATGTTGAGTCTGCATTCATTGCGAATCCTTCGGGTTCGTTTTATGTGACATTATTTTTCAAAGTGAAAGTTTCCGCCTGTTCTAGAACTGCTGAAAAACCAGGAGCAAAGTTCATGTCTTTCATTGATTTGATTTGATTGATTTGTTCTGGGGTTCTGCCGCCAGGGGGCAGCGGCGGCCTTCACACCGCATCGCCGACGGTTCATCTCACTTCGAGGTGGGAACATTTACAAAATGTGTTTGGGGTTTAGTCTTTGGTTTTGATGTTGTATTGAAAATATCTTTAATGAGAAATCCAGAACAACGCTTACGTCGCTCTCCAAAACATTCACATTTGCACATGACTACATTTCATACTATTAAATATACTTTAATAATATAATATTTACATCCCAATATGCCTTTCTGGCTATTCTGACCCACAGTCCTTTGTTCAAGGTCTAAGTTCAAGGGTCCAAAATAAAATGCATATATTGCTGCAAATGTATGCAGTTTGTGAGATGCTGTATGTATAAAAATTACGTTTGGATCAGGGTTCACGTACACACAATTTACAAAGTAAGTAATGTTGCATGCAGTATTCATTCTATTGGCATATACTCCCCCCATAACATTACATTTAGAAATTGGACCATCTTGATCTGCTGAGGAGAATGTAACCGTGTGCAGCAGGATCCTAACATTTATTATCAAACTATACAATTACAACATTATGCATTGTGAAATACAGTTTTTTTACCTTGGAAAATTGGAAGTGGGACGTGGGAATGTTGTAACGCCCATGCACCACCCACCATGACAATTTCCTTGTACTTACCTGCCTAATCAATGTTTCCGATTCTGATTCTGATTCCAGCTCAATAAGTCGAAAACTTAATCGGGATCAATAAAACCTGATGATACCAAGCGCTATTTCAGTATTTTATACAACCACTGTAGCAACATGTCCACAGATAAAGACAGTGAGACGTGCATGACTGATTTAATACGACTTAATAAGACCGCAAACATGGTAATTGACAGCATAAAGGTCTTTGATGTGGGTCAAACTAAACATTCACATCCATGGATTCTGGATTTATCAGTGATGGAGA